CCCAATAAAGTGTTCCTAAGACAGGAAGCTCGAGGACTGTCAGAGTCTATGGAAATCCATTCTTCCATTCTTTCCATCTTTCACTCCTAACACACTCTTCTGATCCCTCTATGATCACCTCTGACTGTGGTGCATGAGCTGATACGAAAGGAGAAGAACAAATCACTCCTGGTTATTCGACAGATATAGAACTTCGTATTCCCGCCACTATCTCTGGACCGAAACGGACAGAGAATTACAAAGGTAAATTATGGATGACAGATCAGAGAGTGAGTGTTACGTTCTTTTCTGCAACAACTCAGATAGTAGCGAGTGACTAAGATGGCCGGTATGAAGTGTGAAAACAGCTCATAAATTAGATCATCTTCGTGACGGAAGTGAAGAGTTCTAAAGTGAAATCATATGATTCTCCTCCTTCTCTTGAGAATTTGGTCATTCCATATGTACGTCATCATCCCTTCATTGTACAATTCCAAACCCCTTTCCCCCCCTTCCTCTTGTCTCTCTTTCATCATGGTATCCCACCATCTGCTTCCTCTCCCAAATACTTTCAGCCCCAATACTATACCTATATCAGCACGACCCGCACCTGCTTCCTTGACACGAGGTAAAAGTGACGAGTCTCGCGTACGACCACGTTTCAGATCCCTTTATTTACTATAATGTCTGGATTAGAAAAAAGAGTTGGAACATCCAGCTCACCTCACTAACACTCAGACTCACATACTAAGCGCAACATTCCACCTTCCCACTTTCTCCCCAAACCAAATCCTCCTCGCCTTTCTCCCCGACTCGGAAAAAGGTTCCTCTCACGCTCTTCCTGATCCAGGTAGAGGTAGTCATCTAGAACTGAAAATGGTAATTGGGGAAGGAGCGGGACATGGGGTTTGGAAACATATAGAAGGACAAAGGGTCCGATGTGAGGAGAGAAGGAAAGAGGGTGAAGCTTTACGTGAGTAAAGTAACTTTGTTAACATACAAGAATAAGAATTGATACTTTAGCGGCTTATAGTCCAACTGATCAAGGACCATCTTCAATTCCTGATTCTCCACCTCCATTCGACTCCAAAAGTTAAGCTGCTGAATGATCATGAATGAGCCCTACGAATCACAGTATCCTTATCCGTCTCTATATCTGTATGTATATGTATGTATATGTATACACAAACCAAGTATTGTTTGATGGTGTCCTCACTATCTATCGTATGCACAAAAGTTCTATTACTCTTATTCCCAATCACACAAACAGAACATTGATCAGTCATAAGATACTCTAATGCAATACTCGCACAGAAAAAAAAAAAAAAATCTGATACATCATGTTTTCCGAGGAAACCACCAAACCCCATATTGATCTCTAACAACCCTAACATGTCTAGCAACTAATTTATCTAATTCTTTCCCATCACCATCCCTCGTCAAACCTTTCAGAAAAGGTCTCATATCTTCCGCTTTCCATGGAGAACGAGTCAAGAAAAGGTCTGTGAATCTGTTCGGGGGATTTATAGGGAGTGAATGGACTGGAAAGTGAGTTATGGTTTGTAATGAAGTGAAAGTAGAAGAATGTAGAAGGTGTTCTCCCTGTTATATTTAGCTTATAACCTAAGTTCTTTCTTGTAGTCTCGTATTTTCGTTTTTCCTATCTCTATTCGATTTCCCCGAAGCTCTATTTCTTCTCATATATTTCTCTCAACCTTTCCTCCTGAAGAGGGTAGAAGAATAACCTGCGTTCTTGCCTTCTTCCTTTTCTCTGTACTTCATGTTTCTGTCCCTTCGTATCTGTATGCGCATATTTCTGTCCCTTCTTATCTGTGCACGCACCTATTCCATCTGTTCCATTCGCCCCTTTACACAAGAACCAAGAGGAGGGAGAGGGGGAGAGACGACTCATGTCATGTGGGCCACAACATAAGTCTATTGGAAGGGCTGAATTGGGATTCGGGGAAGGGAGAAGTGTCCAAACGTGGATTACCAGAACTGATCACCTTGAGAGACAAACCAAAGACTCACCTTTAACAAATCAAGATGCACCAATTCATTCCAATTCTCCCCCACATTTTCTCTCCACATACTCAAAAACATCTCAGCTTCCATCCCTTTTTCTCCTATATCAACCAATATCCCATTCCCTACTTCCCTCACTAAACGTATTATGTCAGCTTTCCACACTTCGTTCTTTCTCCCTTCCCTTCTTCTCCCTTCGTCTCCTATGTGTGTTCCGTCTTCCGAGTCATTTTCATCCTCTGCAACTCTTTCCCCTTCTGACTTATTCCCCTCATTCTTGTTTACTTCCGGATCATCTATTTCCCCGAAAAGACTCAAAATACCACGTATCAACCCCCTCTCAAGCTCATATGTCTCTAATTCCCTCATCACCTCTTTTACTGGGACTTGAACTGATTTGGAGTGTTCATGGACATTATGGATGGATAAAAGGGTGAGGAGAATGGTCAGGATTGGATGGAGTTTGTCAGGTGGTAGAAGTAGCAGGGTTCCTATATATCAGAAATGATTCCATATACTTCCACAGACAAGTAGACCAAATAAACAAAGCTGATCACACTTTGACGCCAGCTGAGGGGAGGTAGTAGATCATCGGGGAAGTCATCCTTCCAGTGATATACACCCAAGGTTGAAGACTGACTTGTTCATAAGATCAGACACGTTGAGGGCGGTTTTGACTCAAGTTGAATGGGGTATGGGATAGTGAAAGCAGTTGGGCGGGGAGGTTCGAAAGTACAAGATTCGAAATTGGGACACACGAGAAAGAATGATATACAAGAAACCAGAACTCACCATCAACTGCCACAACATTCCTCTCTTTCAAACCTTTATCCAACTCCACTTCACTAGCCTGTATAACACTCAACAATTGTTGACGAGTATATTTCTTTCTCCTCAATTTAACATCATCTGCATAACCTCCCCCTGATCCTCTTTCGTTCCTATATTTCATCCCCTCAAACCCTGTTTTATTCTCAGATCCTATACCTTTCCACGCTGTTGGTCTAAGAAGAGTTCTGATCCTTTCCACATTCCCAGCAATAGGTACACATTCTAATATCTCATGACGCGTATCACGGATTTCTAAAGTTGGTCGAGAACGTTTATCATGTTTTGTCGTAAAATCTGCATCTTCGAATCTTATACGTTTTGTCTTGGATGTTGATGCTTCATTTCCACTTTCCGAATCCTCGTTTTTGGTCATTGAATCTTCATCTATACTCCTGGAACTGTGTCCAAAAGTTAGGGCATCTTCATCTTGTTTTGAACATTGAAAAGATGTTGAAGTGGAAGAAGAAGAGGAGGAGGAAAAAGCTTGGGTAGGAGGAGCTCGACATAAAAGTAAAGAATTGGAAATCGTTACAGTACGTAGAGCGAATGTAGCGTCTGAAGTACATAAAACCGCGTCATCGGATGGACGACCTTTGATGATTATTCTGCGTATTAGCAGATGTTTTCATTGAGACATTTGGACATTTGGACATCTGGATATGTGGGCATTTGGACATTTAGACATTTGGTCCAGTCATTTCACATAAGTATGTGAAATTCTTCCGTGTATAGCGATAGAGATATAGAGACTATTAGAAACTAGAGGTGGATGTGACATGTGAAATGTGGTATGTGGCATGTATCTAATGATAGGTTGGATAAACACGAATAGCTCAGAAACACACAAAGATCATATACGATTTGGTCGAGTGAAATGAAAGCTGGATAGACGATAGGCAAGTTTTGACAAAATGGAGGTAAGTACGGATGACTTACGGGAATGATAATGATCCATTCCATCCTTCTAACTTTTTCAAAACTTCCCCTGGGAGTTCTAAAAGTTGATACGATTCGTCATTATGTTCGTCCCCTGGAAAACGTAGGATTATATCGTTGAGAGGTAGGGTGTTTGTCATTGTGTCTTTGAAAAGATGAAATAGAGAGAGAGAGAGAAAGCGAGAACAGTCGCGTCGAAAACTACTCGCACTGGAAAGATTTCGCCACACAGCTACCCTTATCATGTGTAATTTTCTTATGACTGACTGGGACGCGGGACGTTGGTATATCGAGATGATACCTATATTGTAAATGAGAGATTTGAATGATAGACTCGACCCATGCGATGCATCTTCACTCAAATGTTGAAGCCAACGTCACAAAGTTCCCCGTTTCCAAACCAACCCTCGCGACCCTCACGACCCTTCGATCTTTCTGAGCTCTCGTAGAAACCTAGGTTCACGTCCTTCTCTCAACCGTCTAGTCAAATCACCTCTGGCAAGTCCTAAACCGGTATGATGTACTGGCATGCCTGCCATCTTTTCTCCTGCGCGGTACGATCGGCCGACGTAGGGGTTCTTGGTTCTTATGGTCAGCATGAACACTACGCATGGGACATATCATCCATGTGCACCCGACAAAGTGATACGGAGACTGTGTTTGGATATTATCAGACATTGATTCAGATGATTAAAACTGATGTGAGAAGGGATTTGATGAAAGGTGAACGAGATACAACGATCAGGTATCCCACTCACCTGGAAGCAACATCGTACGCGAGCCCTGATGTAGTATTCCGTTTATGACCATTATGAGCTGTTTCCTCAGCTTCAATTTGTGCCTGTTCATTAGCCATCACTCTATCAACATCCCACATGCAACATGACTCTCTACTGTCACCCATAACTTGGCACACCCTCCCTCACCCCCGTTATGATCACAAGTCATAAAGAGTTAGGTTTACCCACGAAAGTCGATAGGCAAGTAAAAATGAGAGGCCATGAGGAAAATCACTCACAGCCCATTGTAAAGCCCTAGCCTCAAAATTCTTCTGTCCTTCTTGATCCCTAAACTTCAAAACCTTTTCCCTATTCATCCTCGTCCTTTCCCTCAAATCTTCTTTACCGATCATATCATATTGCTCATGAGTTACAGAAGGAGAAGCCTGTGCCATTTCCCTACCTACTGCCCTTGCGGTCAATTCAAATTTCAAATCCCTCGGTCCATCTACTAATTCCAATATCGCATGAGGGGCGTTATCACCTTGTCTCCTACCGAATTTATGTATACGAGTATAACCTCCTGGACGAGTCGCATACCGGGTGGCTAGATTGGTGAATACTTTGGAGAGGATTGCGTGGGGTGAAGGAGGGGGATCGAGGGAAGCTTCTGGGTCGATTGGTGCATCAGAATTCCCTTGAGATGTTGAGATTGATGGAGTTTTGGTGGAAGGGGATGAGTAGCCGAGGGGACGAGGGGGAGGGACGGGTTCGATGACGGCGGATGGGGAATAGGTGTGGTTAGGCTGACCGTCAGAGGCCATGCTTTGGACTACAACTTTGACAATAAAAAAGGGTGAAAGGAGTGGAAATTATGTGTTCATACGACTGGGTAATTTGTTTGTGATGAGGAGGGGGGGGAAGGAAAAGACTAAAGATAATCAAGAGGAGATGAGAGGAGATCAGACAACATACGAAGAGAAAACCTTGTGCGGCTCTTCGAGCAGGATCACTACTTTTCTTTCCTAGTGTTATGATCTAAAGTTTGAGCTTGGATCCTCCAAAAGATGCTAATGACAAAGTTGTTGCTCACCTTTTCAGCAAGTCTCGCAGTTTCTTTAGCTTTAGGAAGTGTAGTTTTGATACTTTCATGGTGTAATAAAGCCGTCACTAGATTTCTGTCCTTCAGCAAATGAGCTCTTCTTCAGACTTCCCAGGTATCGTAACGACTCCAAGACACACGTTCGTTGAGATTGAGAGAAACTTACCTGAGAAGAGCCCATCGGTGAGAAGGTGTTCTTTGAAGTTTACGAAGTTTTATACCGTGTTTCATCTTTTTTCGAGTCCTTTGTTTCTTTTCTTCTAACCTTGGAGAATTACTCTGTTTTGTATGTATACCTTTCAACGATTGCGGTCTGCGGCGAGGAATATGTGACTTGCAAGTTGGTCTTCAAGTGATATGGCTAAGTATGGTCAGATTTCAGAACGAAAAGTATGAACAGATGGATATGGAATATCCGCCACATTTATATCACTTCGGTAATTTCTCGGCATTTACCCCCCTCCACCCCCCCCTTCTGAGGAAGATCCAATTTGAATTCCAGTAAGATCCTATATCCGTGATAGACACAAACCCTGTCAAACTCGCAACTGTTCTCAACGATGAACCGTTCTTTCATCCTCCTCCGACCTATCCTATCCCGATCTATCATTCCTCCTTCAACATCTATATCCCTAAGAATCAAACCTACCCTCGTACCGAAATGGAGGGGATACTCGGCTGCTGCAGGATTGAAACGATCGGATATTGAAGAAAGAGTGATTGATGTTATGAAGAGTTTTGAGAAGGTTGAGACTGATAAGGTTGGTTTAATGTTTCTTTCTCCTTCCCCTGCCCCTTCTCCTCCTCCTCCTTCTCCTCTGTGTACTTCTTCCTTTTCTCCTCTTGTGTTCTTCTTCGTCCCCTTCTCGCCTATCTCCTTCAACAACCACCCATAACTCTGATATATCTCTTCCTTTTTGGACCCTATCGCAGTCAAATCGAAATTTGTTATTGAAAGATGTCGTATCGGGTAATGAGATCCGAAAGGAAAAGTTGAAACAAGTTTACTGACATCCAGTTAACCCCCACAGCGACTTTCACTTCCGATCTCGGACTTGATTCTCTCGATTCTGTAGAAGTAGTCATGGCTATCGAAGAAGAATTCGGGATTGAAATCCCGGATGATGAAGCTGATAAGATTACGACCGTTGGGGAGGGTGAGTCTTGATTTGTCTCAATCTAACTTAGTCTCTTTCCAAAAATCAATTTCCGCTATTCATCCATATTACATATTACACCTACCCTGTATTCCGTCAACTTACCGATCTCATACTCATCGTTTAAACATCATGAGAACCGATTTGGTATATACTTTACATGATTCCAATTTCGTATGGAGAAGCGATCTGAATGACTGAGCTAATATTCAGCTATCGAATATGTAGTCAAGACTCCAGAAGGTAAGTCGTCTATGTAGGTAAATCAATGTGAGATCTCCAGCTGACGAGATAGCACATTGATATATATGAATTATCATGCATTCTTATCGGTTTTCTCTTTCAATAGAGTCAATCTCATCTCCCGAGTTTTCTTCTGCCTACCTCCACTTCTGTCTTTATTTCTCAGCAGCGTTCCGTGTCTCTTTACGGCACATCATCCCTCCTCTGATCTTGCATACAATAAGCGTCTCAACGATAGAGATCATACTGATAGATACTTTACCGATAGACATCTTACTGATAGATAGAATCACTTGTACAGCACTCACTCACACTACCTGACAACAGCTTCAAGTGTGGTGTAAAATACTTCGTTACGTTCCAAACGATCTGATGCGTATAAGGATATTGACACCAAGTTGCCAGGCGAAGATATGTGATATACATATTCTAATTCTAATCACTAATACCCACATTCATCTATGGGGGACATCACTGTTCTTCCCCTGAATCATCCTGATGACCGTTAATCTCTCCAGTGATCTTCACATCTTCACCATGGCCATTACTTACCGCCAAATCATGTGTACCATTCAACTTTTGATCCTTTCCTTTTTCCTTCAACGTATCCTTACTCTGATTTCCCTTCCTTACTTCCCTTTCATCCGACACAACTTCATCTTGACCACTTCCAAGGATTGACCCATCATCATCGTCATATACGTCCTTCTCATGTTTCAGATCTTTCGTATCGGGGGAAACAACTCCACTCTTCCTCGTCTCCTCATCTCGCTTCAACCCATTCTTCAAAGTAGGTCCACTAGTATCCACTTCATTTGGAATAACATGACCGATCTCTTCATCTACTCCATTAACCTCGTCCAATTCCCCTTGAACACCTAAAGATCCGGAAATAGAGACTGAAGCATCTTCCGATTGAGACATTTCACGTTCCATCCGCCTTGCACTGACCCGAGTGGATTTACGTTCACCTGGTATGGTTAAACGGAGGATAGAAGGACCAGGACCAGGAGAATAAGTTTCATGGGTTTTACGACCACGTTTACGGGGTTCATCCTGCTTTGTCAGAATTTCCTACCTACTCTCATCGTCATTCTGACCTGTGTCCCACTACAATATCGGGATTTTGATCAAGATCTTGTGCGAGACTTAAGGAGTTTTGAGATGATGGACCACGCTGAGAGGTAAAGTGAACAAGGCGTGAAGAACTATCTGGGAAGAAGACGATTTAGGGTCATGGAAGACGTACTTCAATATCATCAGAATCATAGGTGTAATCTACCTTACGAGTCGGACGACGAGTTCTAGTAGAACGCAATTCTGTTCTTTCTGCCATTTCTGCCGCTTGTTGAATTTTTCTACGAGCCCTCTGTACTCTCTACGTTGATCAGTTCTTGCTATCGATACCAAAGTCGTCTCCTTGAGTCAAATCTGAGCGAAGTTTCTCGTTTAGAGTCGGGGTTGATCAAGGTGAATTCAGATATCATGATGTAAGAGATGAAAGACGAAGTGGAAACATGTACTTACCCCATCTTCCTTCTCTATAGCGGGTAATAACATATCAATCTTTTCCGCTAATTTACGTTCCTCTTCCACCCCTTTGACAAGTTTACGATGAGCGGCCGCTTCAGCCTGAGTCAACTTGGCTTTAGGTCCAGAACCTTGAGGTCTGTCGATGGACTGATTACCGTAAGATGTATATTTGTTTAATTGGACTTGTAATTCCGTACGGGTGGAAGTGATGGTATATAGAGGACAGGGACGTTTGAACGGATTACCGGATTTGTATAATCTCCCCGAGGCTATGATCAATCATCTCTCCTCATCTCAACGTAGCCGATCACACATTCCGTCCGTAGCAATATGTCCAAGAGGGTGGAGGAAGAGTGAGAGAGGACCAGCGATGATTGTATTTATAATCGACTAGCTGTGGCAGATCATACCGGGAAGGGATAGGTATTCGGCCTCGTACAAAACTCACAATCCAAAGACCATATCCGATTCTTGTTCCGATCCAAACCTAATGGCTCAATCAAGATATCAGCTTCTTCTATGTGTGGCTCCGCCTTCTTGCGGCCGGTTTCTCCGATGCGATATTTCCGATTGATGATCGTTCGGATATTATCGGCATGAACCACTGTTGTTTAGAAAACTTCTCACTCACAGCCCGACAAGCAATTGTCATCCCTCAATTTGCTCGTACAATGGGTTGAGACTCGATAATATGTGTGTACGAGTTCAAGGGCAACTCACATTGCCAATCCACCATTTGCCTGAGCAATTTTGCCCTTTCCCTCCAATTCAATTCAAATAGACCACCCCCACGCTTTTCGACCTGCTTCAACGGATTTTTGTATGTGCGCGTTTCCAGCGGTTCCCCCACATACCTCAGTCGGCCCAATTCCTTTCTCTGTTCAGAAGGGTTACAGCATCCAGATCTGGCTTCTTCGTGAGGGGCCCACGGACGATCCCAGACTGTGAATTCTGTGGAGTTGAGAAGCATCTCGTGGATATAGATCGACAAGTGAAGTTGAATATTTGTACAGCTTTTCATCAACGTTGGAACATTTCTTTCGATGACTTTTTTGAGGCAAAAAAAGTCCCCAGTGCCACTCTGCCACATTCATTCCACGCTTTTTGAATATCTGCATCAAAGCATCAATTGTCCGATGCGCTCATCATCTGATCTTCCTCAACGCCCACGGTCCTGGGTTCCAAATGAGGCAGGGGGAGAGGAGCCTCGAAAATTTGGAAATGATCCCCATGTTGAGATTGAAAGATCCGACGTTGAAGTGAAGGAGTGCCACATCGAAATGAAGATCATCACTCACTCGAGGTTCCGCATTCCCGGTTTAAGATTGTGAAGGAACCGAACTAAGACACCTTCCAATACATCGTCTGGTCTATTGGCCACGGGTTCCGAGAGACATTGTTCGAAGCTAGTGAAGTCAACATTCCGTGGGATATTGACAGCTTTGAGGGAATCGATGGAAAGGACTTACTCTTCGAGACATTCAAGCTTACGAATCTTCTCTAATTGATTGAATTTGACTATGAAAGCCCATACATATGCCACTTGCCAACTGTTCATGAGCTCATGAGTCCATCAGTCTTATGCCGTATGTGGTACATTCAACATCACGATTTACGAGGAATGCACAAGCACGAAAAGACCCAGCGTCTATGGAGAAGATGAGCCAGGGAGTGAGGGAGAGAAATTCAAACGACTCACTCGTCAGATATCCTCTCAGCTTGTGGAGGTTCGTAGTGATGAATCCTCAAATCATCCTCGTGTCGTTTCTTAGCTTCGGCGACTTTGACCAGTTGCACTTCTGAGTCTTCCATCTTTCGTGGGCGCTGTGGCTCATCCACATCCATCAATCCGTCGTCGAGAGGTTTTATTTCATCCTCGACCAAACTGGGAGTCACTGATGAAGATTGTGGTAGATCCCCAATGGGGAGGAGGGGAGAAGGAACAGACATAATGAGTCGAAAGATGAGTGTATAGCTATAGGTAGCGGACAGAAGTGAAAAGTAGCGAGTTAGATATGATATGATAGCTGTGACAGGGCAAGGAGGAGGTATGAATGGGAGTTTGATTTGAGAAGAAAGGACCAACGAAAGACAAAGTCGAAAGAGGATAGGTCTAAGTAGTACAGACGCGAGGTTTTTGACTTTTTACCCCACATTCTACCCCGCATTTTCACCCAAACCAAAAACTGAGTGGCCTGTTCTACTCTGTTCTACTGTACATAAGTACACCCCACCCCTGCTCTTGGTAACCTTGGCTTGTCCCCTGGCACCTGATATCGACATATAAAGATGCTCCAATCATCTGATCAAGCACAACGTGTCTTAGACGAAAAGTCTTCCCTGCTCGGTGAAGGTTGGAAAGCCGTCGAGTCATTTGATGATTTATCCGACGCTTCTGATTTCTCCGATTACGAAGAGGTGAGTGGTTTGGTGGATGTTGACAACTTGCTGAGATGTAATAGGAAATGTATGTGACTATAGATCTCGGATCTTCGGTGGACGTGAAGAGTTTGCAGACCGAGTCAAACTATCAACTCATCGTGTGTTTTCATTTTTTGGCTCATTGATTTGACCACCTTCACCCTGATGTGTAGTATGTTCAGCTTGATCGGAAAGTGATGCTGTTCAACTGTCAAGTGGCAAAGTCAGCTGATGACCAGGGAATGGATACACCTCTTCCCTTTTTGAAAGTCGGGAATCAAATATATCAAGGAGAAATCACTCCTCTGATAGGGGACGAAATCATCTTCACACTTGTTCGAGGTTTGTCCCCCTTTACTTCATCCACATATCGCTCGCCTTCCAATATCTTTCACTTCACGTTCAGCCCCCTGTGCTGGAGTCAATATTCCCTCGTCCATCCTGAACATCTGTCTCCGGACCATGAACAACCTAAGCTGTCATTGTGATTAGGAGCGTCTAGGCGGCAGAATTTGACCATCAGACCCCGACCAGCCTTCGAAACCATCACATCCCCCACTAGCCATCTCCTCCCAACGACTGAGTTTCCGCTCCATAACCCTCGTACCTCATTCCGAAGCCCTCCCACCCGAAGTCCAGCCGAAGATAGAGCCTCAAACACAAGCTGAGGAATTCTCAACACCGGGACCCGAAGATCCAGAGGCCCGCAAAGAGCGACTGAAGGCTAAGGCGAGTCATTACACTATCCGACCTATATTCGCATTGCCACATTCTGGAGGACGAGTCTATCCAGGTAGGAATAAAGGGAAATCAGGCACCGCTGCTTCTTCCGTTGCTTCCAGAAGCATCGACAGAGAGACTCCTGGTCAACTAGACCAGGATCAAGAGTTTGCACAAAATGAGGATCCTGCGGGAGAAACTGGAGTGGAGAACCCACTTTTTGGTGGTGTGACAATGGAGAAAGGGTCATCAGGAGAGACAGCAGGAGATGATGCGGAAATGGTCTCTCTTGATCTTGCCGTAGGAGATACACCCACTGCCATCTCCACTCCTCGTCTTTCCGCTCCACCAATTCCTGCTATCACTGATGTCGTCAATGAGGACATGGAGAGAATGGATCTTCATCCACGCCGGAATACGGAGGATATTGATATGGACCATGAGATCGTGGATGTGGATGATAGTGATGTTCCCGAAAGAACGACTGTTCAAGAAGACTCTTCTACCCCTGTGGCCAGCACATCTGCCGTGAGATTGACCAAGACCAAAAAGTCTACAAAAGTGGGAAGAATGATCATATACGATATGGAAGAATTGTTTACGATTGATTTAAACACTCTTAATGATAAATCGAGATGTAAGTCCTTGTTTCTTTCCATCTTTCCATGTGACTGTTCATGTCCTCGCATCCTCCCACCCTCACAGGTTCACATATCCTTTTCCACATCTTCAACTCTACTCAGTCATTCGATGATGATTCTCTTTCCTGTACTTCCTCAAAAGACACGCATTATCTGACGTTGATAGTGGAACTGCTAGACCAACCCATTCAACCACACGATATCATGGGAGGAGACGCCCCTATGGCCATCCGGGAATTCACAAAGAAACAAATTATGAAGCTTCGTGCTGGTCTACCTATAGACGCTCTGGGGAGGAATGGTCGTGGAAGAGGAGGGAAGAAACATGTTGTAGCTCGAGTGAGTAAAGGGAAAAGTAAGAAACAACTCACACAAATCGAATCTGGTGTACTTGATGAACTTGCGAAACTTGGGAATCCATCCGAATTTGAATCACAGAACCCAGAGTTGCCTGATGTTGGTTTAGATGGTAGTGCGGAGATCATGGGACAAAATATGGGAAGTGAGGAGGGCGAAGAAGGTGAAAGATATCAAGGGAAAGGTAAAGGGAAAGAAAGGGAGGATGTACAGATAGATCGAGGGAAAGGCAAGGATGTCGCAGAGAGAGCTTTTTTCTTCGTTGGAGGAAAGGAAGAAGTGGAGAGGGAACGTAAAGCCAAACAGAAGGAAAGACAGCAGGAAGAAGAAACAAATGATCTGGTCATTGGCGATGTGAATCATGAGAGGACAGAGTCAACAGTAGGGAAAGTATCACAAGGAGAGATGGAAGTGGAATGATGGTTCTTATCATCAATATACAACTGTTCAATCGATAATCTTGTATTCTGAGGGATTTACAAAAGGTTGTCACAACTTTGGGTTTGGGGATCGACTGTTTTACTTTTTATATTCAATGTAATGGAGGGTTCATTTGACATGCATAATCGTTCCAGATTGTATATCATCCTTACATCTTTTAAACAAGTCATGCCATACAGCATTGAACATCTGAACTGGTCCACGTCGATTCTGAGTGATCTGTTCCACATACGATGAGATGAGAAGGGAACTGAGTACTACGAAAGATATCGTAGAATACAAATCATCAAGTCGCTCTGATATGCTACGACATTCAGCGATAAAGTGAATGAAAAGAGAAAGAAAACATACTAGATCATCCACTGTGGAATAAAGCATTCCTTCCCCCATGAGGTTTTCGATAGCTTCCCTTTTTCATGTTAGCCACATCCTTACCAATTCATGTTCTCAGGTCCATTGTCGGCTATGACGATCACGATGACACACTACAAGTACGTGAATCTTCACCTCCCACAAAGGACAAAGCACTCTTCCAGTAGTAGCATTTTGTCCAGTATATAAGGACTTCTACAGCACAAAGACCGTTGGTGGTTGCATGACCGAGTGGGTGACTTCGTCAGATACACAAAGGAGAGAAGAGGTCATCTCCTGACTGACATGAATCAATGCAAGATGACGTAGGTGTGAAAGTGAAGAGATAAATGGACCCACATGACATCTTCGCCTTTGGTACCTGTCATACTCCTACTGACGGCTGAAACGTGCATCCCATCTTCACTCTCTTCTTTCGAAACTATTTCCATTATCTTTCTTTGTAATGGTGGAAGGTTTGCATAAGGAGATTCGGTGGTTGTCATACCGACTGGAGCGTTGTAGTCGTTATTCGGAGCGTGTGCGTGTGCTTGACCCTGTTGTGTCAACGGACTTGGTTCCTGCTTCCTCACTTTGACTTTGAACATTGTTAACCCCGCTTGTCGAGTTGTAGTGTCTTCAACAAGCTGGGCCCGAAGAGTCCCATGGCTTATACGAGAGATGAAGAAGCAAGATGAGCGAGGGACGTGAAAGTGGCGGGTGGACAGGAAAGTGATGGACAGGAAAGTAGTGGACAGGAAAGTGGTGGACAAGAAAAGGGGGAAAAGAAACAGAGGAAGGAAGGGGGAGAAGGAGGTTTATCACAGTAGAGTAAGAAAAGACGACTGACAGTAGTACCAGGATTTCGTAGTGTCAAACTGACATATAACGCTTTGAGTAGATGATTATACACCTCGTTGAGATCTTCTATGAGACGGATATGAGATGCTGAAATATGTCTCTTGCCACCAAACAGTTTGATACTACCCATAATCCCAACATATTTATCTTGTCTATAGCGTCAGCCAATCCCTCCTCCGTCTCATTGACAAAATCCCCGTGTCCCGCCTAAAGAGTCTAAGCAGATTCAGTCCGGGCGAAGAAGGCTCATCTCGAGGGTGATCAGGCGAATGAATATAAGAATAAAGCTACGAAGGTTCCGAGAGACATGAGTAGTACTGACTCTATTCCTTTTGCCTTTTCCGACTCATCTTCCGCCGAATCCAGCCATAGTCTGGCATCTATATACCCCGTCCCATCCCCAATTTCGACCTGGACGTTCGTGGCGGATTTCGATACGGCACGTACAGATCCGACAAGAAGTACCTCTCCGTCAGTGTGTCCACTTTGCGGTACAGCAAACAGCATGAAGATATCCTCATGTGTATGTGGGGGAGGAAGGTAACAGTGTGAAGGGTACAAGGAAAAGAAGGAAAGGAGTAACAGAAGACACACCTGCCCTACGTCATATCCGTCGATAGCAAAGTCAGAATCAGGATGAGGCTGAGAGGCATCTAAGATCTGTTTAACCGTTACGGGTCTTATCGTTGATGTGTTGCTTTTCTATATGATCAGTCAAACTCTTATCATATGGTTGACATTGGAGAGGTAGGGATAGACTGACTTTTTTCCCTCCGGGAGAATCTTGAGATCCGTTCTGAGAGTTTGTGTATCCTCCACCACCGCCGCCACCATAGTAAGGATTCTCGACTGTCATGAGCTTCTCAATCAGCATGTGCTATAATCCTACTCACAGCCGCCGCTCATGTTGTCAGTATAGTAGAGGTCGAAGAGAAAGAGAAGAGAAGCTTGATATGATTCTACTTTTTGACCTGAGCTGACGTCGAGACGCGTCAACCGCCACACGCGTATAACAGGTGTCACGTGGTCCAAGGATAGGCGCGCAAAAGCTAGGCCTGCGCTTATCAACGGGTTCGTCCGAGCACACCTATGCTATCTCCCTCTATCTATACTCACTCTTTCCTCTTCACTGTACTTATCTACCTAGTCAATCCTTTTCACACTATCGTCTTTGTCCGAAGACTCATCTCCGTCGCCGATTGCAAGAGTGAAAAGTTTTTGTTTCTACCCATCATCATGCCTCAAGTCCCGACTGATCGACGGGGTTCGGAAATCCTTTACTCCCCATATCCACCTGCTGTGCCCCAGTTCACAGAACCTCAAGTACAACCACCGTCGGATATTGCTTCTCCTGTACCGGAAACGAGTACTCGTCCGACTAAACCACCTAGTAAGGCGGGAACTACTGCGGGTGTGAAAAGAGGAGCGGCGGCGGCTGGGGTGGCGGATAAATTAGAGGATGGAGAGTATAAAGTCGCAAGGGCCATCTCCAGTTGTGTTCGTTGTAGAACGAGGAAACAGAAATGTGATGGTAAACTACCAGCATGTAGCGCTTGTGAGAGAGCAAAAGTGGAGTGTATAGGATTTGATGCTATCAGCAAAAAGAATATCTCAAGAAAGTGAGTGTATTCCTTTATAAGCATACCATTTCATCTCATTGTCTCCGATGAAAAGCTCATGAGTGTGGTGTACGGACAGTGTTGATGGGATAGTTATCTACACACTCTGGAACAAGAGATTAGATCTCTTAGAGCCCAAGTCGCCGCTCTCACATCTGGCAACGGAGAACCCAGTAGTCAAAATCGACGTTCAGTAGCCGCGGGTGCTTTTCAAGCTATATCTGGGTACACTCCTGAACGTGATGACAACACACGTCCTACAACCCCTTGGGATTCTCCTGCTCATAATTCATATCGACGTCAATCGGATTTCCCACCATTACCTTCTCCATTGGGAACTGAACCCCCTCGGTCTCCATTCACGGCCCAACGGGTATATCCATATGGTCAACTCACCGGTGCACCTCCTTCGACGTCCCTCACTCGTATGGTACATGATGCGGCACTACGTACTGGTCATGCAGCAAACAATGCTACCACACTCAATCCACCAGGTCCAAGTAGCGTCGGAGGATCAGGCAGCGATAGAGGAGGAAGCGCTCTCGGAACGGATTCCCCTACAACCGCTGTCCTAGAGGGCCCATCGCCAGACACCATCAATGTACCTCCTTCCCCTGGAATGACGGCGTTTCCAGGTGGTAGACCATTACATTCTGCAAGTCAAATGCAAGCTCACATGGTATACACAACTTTAACACCAACTTCATCCCATGGAAAAGGCAAAAGAGTCATTTCAATCCCGCCGTTACCCCCTCAGTCAGCGGTAGAAAGATTGGTAGCGGCTTATGTCGACTTTGTCGGTGTTTCGGCGCCTATCATTCATATTCCGACTTTGGGCAAGCAGCTCATGAAATTGCGAGAAGGAACCGATGTGGAGCCCGCGGACATCTTCGTCGTCATGATGGTTCTTGGTCAGTTTTTTCTCATTTACTCGTGAGTACGTGTCGCTGATGAAGGTAGCATTGAGCACAATGGCTTCTTCAAGATTTGTGGAATCTCCGGACGAGCTTCGGGCATGTTCAGAAATCTTTCATGCAGAAGCGATGAAACATCTTGATGCGGTATTCGAAGAACAGAGTTATGGTGAGTAACATCCGCTCATCCGTCGAAGTCGCTTGTGCCTGCACATGTACTCGGCGTCATTATTCCATCTACTGATTCACTTACTGTTCTTGCGTCCCCCACTGGTGGACATGGGGGTTGTGGCTGGTTGAGAAACGACCACTCACTTTCAGTCGGCCTTCAAGCTATCCTTCTTCTCGTCTGGTACTCCCTCCTAAACCCCGAAAAAGGATCTATATGGTTCCTCGTAGGACTAGCAACTCGCACTTGCGTCGATCTGGGATTACATAACGAATACAACGTTAATGTTGCACAACTCGACGTGTTGGAATTTGACATGCGTCGCAGATTGTTCTGGTGCACATATAAAATGGATCGGTTGTTGTCCCAAGCGTTGGGTAGACCCCCCAGTATTCCAGATGGGTTTATCAATGTACCGGTGAGTCATACTTCTTGCTCACTCTTACTCTTCAGGTCGGTCCCCATCCCCAGACTTTCCTTTATATGTACATCTATTTTCATGTCATTTCAACGTCCCTTCTTTCCACCCTCAGGATTTATAGAATGTTCGGTCTTACACGAACGGAGTTAGCAGATGCTAGTAGTAGTCCCTTTTAGGCAAGCAGCGTGTGTGGATTCGAGCTTATCCCACAGCTCCCATCTTACATCCATGACGTCGACATTATCTCTGGCCAACGCACACTCTCAGGCGAAGAGTGTAGTTACAAATGCGTTTTCATTCACACCATCAAATTACGCAGATTACAATCCGAAATCATGTCCCGTACGTATGGGATTCATGGAGAGCAACCTCCCCCAACAGAATGGTACGAAGAATGTTTTGATCGATTGAAAACTTGGCTTGCCACAGCTCCGGAGCCCAGAGGGACGGTGTCGAGTGAAGGTTATGCGATTTCTTTCCACAGTACGTATTTACCGGGTTTACCCTTCATTCTCACTTAGCCACTCGTGATCATCCTTTGCTCGTCGATATGAGCCCTAGACCCCTGGTAGCTTTCTTCAGTGCCATATCACACATCTTGAGAGAGTTGTTTGAGATTTATATACCTCCCCCCTCCCCCCGGAGCTAGGAAAGAAAGTGGAAGGAGTTCGAAAATAAGGGGCTGGTTGAAGGGATGAGGGTTCTAGTCGAGATCTGATCTGACACCCAGATTCAAGCCTGTTACTCTTCCGCCCTTCACCCGGATGTCCCCGACCAGGCGTCGGAGCTCTCAGGACCGTGTTAGCCAGTTCGAGTTATATCATTCGTATTTACCGTCGAATGCAACTTAACAACCGGATTTCGTGGTTATGGATGACTGTGAGTTGGGCATTTATTTTCCTTGGATTTGAAGGGGCATGTGGGTCAAGGCCGGTGCTGATGATACCAGAGCCACTTCTCGTTCCTTGCTGGTCTCTCATATCTTTATGCGTTCTTCAATCTTTATAGTATGGGCGAGACTGGGTGTCCTAGTTTGGACGAGGCAACAATGGATGTAGAAAGTTGTTTGGCTGTGCTAGAGGGGTTGACATGTCAGTCTTCCGCTTTCTTCCTCCTGATTTCTCTCTCGTCTCTCTTTCCTTGCCTTCCTTCCCACTACCCACCGTTTTCTCCCGGCCCCTTCACTTCTTCGTCTTCGCCCTTTTGTCCCATCATACAACTGAAGTCGCTCTCCCTTCCCCCACACTTGATGGATCATCACTCACGACATCCGCTCACCCCTAGCCCGTGTCCCGTCCGCCGGTGCATGCCACGAGACCATGGCCTCCGTCTCATCCGCAATATTCGATCAATTATCCAAAATCGACCCAATGCCCATGCCCACCCAAACCACACGTTCCCATTCCTCCGGCTCCACCTCGCCCGGTCGTATGATCCGTTCAGCTCCCATCTCTTCGTCACGAGATGATCCCTTGCCCAACGAAACCTTCCCAGCCCCACTCCCTCCAATCACACTACCATACGATCTTTCCCTCCTTGACAACCTATTCCGTAATCCCATGGCGGCACATAACAAAGCGTCAGATTACACGAATGGCCGACAACGTGGTAGAGGTCAAGAACAAGGTACTGTACCAGGTTCAACAGCTTCTTTCGGGAAACCACATGGTACGACTGAGGATATAGGTTTAGGACCTTATGGTATGGCCGCTCAAGTTAGTTTACATGGTTTACCACATGGTCACGGACACGGACATGGTCATGGTCATTCTACAGGTATGGGTATGGGGAATGGGGGATGGGAAGGTCAAATGGGAATACCTCAAGGGACGGAAGGAGAAGGAGGAATGGATATATTCAGTTTTTTGATGGATGAAGAAGGTGGTTTAGGTGCTGGTAATTGGGAAAATCTAGAAGTTCCACCGGATTTTTCACTTTGGACGTGATTCTTGACACACCATTTCGGTGATGCTCGGTTTTGGGTTTTGAGTTTTGGGCGTTGAGAGAGAAATGGTGTATGAAGGTTGCAATTTTCATCTTGGGTAAATACAGGTCTTGGGCAATTGGATCATATCATTAGTATTCATGTATGATAATTTTCTCCTACGACCAAGTACGTTCGAGTTATTCTCATTCTTGATTATATCCCATGGAGCAACCAACGATAGTAAATGAGATTTACTCGGGCACTTTATCGACTGATGGTATACAATTACTCTACTATCATGGACTGGAGACGCAAAGTACGTCGAAGAGGATAAATTGTGTCACACGAAATGATTGACTGAGGGACATGTAATCGTTCCTACTTTTAGTAATGAGAAACCTATCGGGACAGAGGAGTCAATAAGATCACTCTTCTCATGTTCATTTGCAAGACACGACAACTATTGGTTAGCATGATGAAAACGAACATTGTTAGCGTTGGAATAATTCCACTACTTTTATCAATACGTAACTAAGAAATTGTTCATCTTTTGATGATATATTAGTAGACACACTGTCAATTCACTTTTTATTCATGTACAAGAAGACACGAGAATATTCCTCCGGAGACCAAAATAACAGAAAATGATAATCAACGGATAAAAAGGTTGGGGTTGAGTTACAATCTCTTTGATACAACTGATACGAGTAATGATTGAGATGAGTTGTACATCGTTACAAAAAAAAATTATTGTCCCTTTTTCAAATCTTCAATCTCTCCACGTAATCTTTGTAATTCGAATTCACTAGCCGCTGATCTATCTTCCGCTTCACGCCAAAATCTTTCATATTTTAATGAACGAATTTGTTCTTCTGCTAAACCTTTTTGAACTTGTTGAAGTTCGTCCTGTCATTCAGCGACATTCTCGGATAATCATTCATCCTACGTCTACATGATAACAAGTAACGGTACGGTGATTGGTTAGTTGGTAGAATATGAGTAATGAGTAAGAAGAACATGATTGAAAAAGTTGTGACGATATTGACGGACGGTAGGAAAGAAGTATGGAGGAGGGAGGATCAAACATGAAAGGGGAGAGTGAATGGGTGAAGGGATTTAGAGTGGGTGGAGGATAAAAAGAGATGCCGGAGAAGAAAATGATATAATAGAATAGAAGAGAACAGAAAAGAAGGTTGAATTAAACTGGCACGTCTTTGAGAAAATGAACAAGTCGGAAGAAATGATATGAGAGTGAGAAAGAGTTGAGTGAGATGTATTACTCACCTGTAAAGCAGCCTTTTCAGCATCTCTCCTAGATATCTCTTCATCCGATCTATTGACCCTTTCGGTAATTGAAGATAAATGTGCAGCGGCGTATTTGAGTATAGCACCTTTACTACGTTCTGATCCATGTGGTATCAAAGCTGCGATGGCAGTGATACCTTCGTTGATTGCATCACGACGACGACGTTCTACGTCTGCCTGAATGATCAGTCTCAATAACTTTCATTAAATTCACTGAAATAAAAAAAAAACTCACATGACTCTCTTTCTTCCCTTTTGGTCTTCCTTCCCCACCTTCATCATCTCTTCGTCTTTTCCTACCCCATCTATTCCCACCATCTCCCCTATCATCATTTTGTCCTCCTTCCCCATCCTCTCTCACTTCCATTTCTTTCCCCTCTTCTAAAGATACTTGCTCTCCAACCCCATCAGCTAAAATAGCAGGATCTATCCTATCTTCCCTCTCTGCTCTTTCTAATGCTTGCTCTATACTGACCCCAGTCTCATGGTGCGTCCCATCAAGCTCGTCAAGACGATTGGAAGGGGCGAAAAGTCCTTCTTCAGAAAACGATAATAAATGTTCTGCTTCACGTGCGGAATGTTGAGAAGAATCATGATCGTCTTCCCTGAGTACATGTTGTACGAAATCCGTAAGACGGTTTTGATCTTGCATCTTTGGTGACGACTGCGGAGTAGAGTGGGTCCTTCACGATAAGTCTTCTGAATGTTTTAGGTGGAGTCTCTTTGAATGAGTGATATAGTTGTTGATTCACTCGGATACCTCGGCGGTGGACAAGTGGTGTTTAGCACAAGGATGGGGATGATTTGGTGGTTGGTTGTGGACTTTGAGTGTGGAGGTTTGAAACGAGTACGAGTGAAGAACGTGACCAACATGTGATCAGAGAAAACATGGAGTAAAAGTAGAATAATCGGCTCACACGTGGACTTTTATTTCCCAGAAGCTTATCACTCCTCTGTGTTGGAATTGTTCCAGTAAGAGACGAAAGTGAAGGTGAAAGTGAAAGAGAACAATCGTCACACCATGGACTCTCAATCACCAGAACCAGAAACAGCTGTCAATGGTTCCACAGATGCTGGTCCTTTAGCAGGTTCACCCTCGGATTTTCTGAAGAATATAGTGGGGAAAAGGGTCAAAGTGAGAGTGGGTAAAGGGATCGATTATCATGGTGAGTTTTCTCTTCTCATCCTAGTCTTCCACTCAATGCTTGTCATACACTCACCTATTGTCGTGTCGTATCATAGTAATATGTTCTCATCCCGTCGTATCAGAGAGTATCTGATCAAGTCTTCAGCGTGACGTGGTGAAAAAGAAAGGGCGAGAGATGAACGAGGACCAGTAGGAGGCTGACCCCAGGCCTGCTCACTTGCCTGGACGGGTACATGAACGTAGCTTTGGAGGAAACGGAAGAATGGGTAAATGGACATAGAGTGACGACGTATGGGGATTGTTTCCTGAGAGGTAATAATGGTTAGTCGTCTTACTTTTTCTGTCCGTGAGAGTAGGGATGTTGATTTATACAGTCTTATATATCTCCGCCATGGAAGATCTGTGATCCTTAAACATCTCCACGTAGCTAGCGTAGCTAGCGTAGCTAGCGTAGCTCTAACTCGTCTCCGATCTCCGACCTCCCTTCGACAAAACATGACTTTCTGTTGTTACCGACAGCTTTGATGTAGGATCGAGTTTCATGACATAGCTTCAACAGTACGGATCGAAGACCTCCGTTCTGAAACATCTTCCACCGGTCGGGGCGACATGGTAAAAGTTATGACCATGTAAACCTTTCTATACCCTTCTCATGCATATGACGAAAGCATAACCAATACAAGTATCTTCCTCTTTACCTACAATGGATGTTTACTCTTCGAGTCCATTGATCCATTGACCGTCATAGACGTCATGATGAGAAGTAAGACATGACTCAACTACGTATCGTATGAAAGGGGGAAAATCCAATCCTCTCTTCTCTCTTCTCTTTGTCTCAAACACATCTCTTTACTCTTTCTTACTTTACTCCCAATCAACTTCATATCTGCATCCATGATAGCATCTTGTTTCTTGCCCTTCTCATAGTCTTCGACCTTCATATCTCTCCTCTCGTCCATCTCTACCCTTTGTCAGAAAGGAGACGAACCGATTCTACACTTCACAACGCGCAACTTCCCCCAAACCCCCTCCCCTCTCAAAGCGGTCGCGATAAGTTTACAATCTTATAACATCTCTATCACAATACATCGAACGGATCAGTGTATATCCTTCTTCATCTTGAAGTATCAACAACATTATCTCCACTCCTAATCATCATGTCCAATCCTCAAATGACCACCGATGCTATCCTTGCACGTTTCCCTCAAATCTTGACAGAAGAAGAAAAACGATTACCAGATGATAAAAAATCACAAGTACTCAAATCGAAAATCGCCATTTTCTTACGGAACCAACAAACCAAACAGGCTCAAGCTCAACAGCAACAGCAACATGGGATGCAAGCTCGTCCCCTTGGAGTCGGGGTCAGACCTGGACAGAGTCCTAGGATTGGGATGATGCAGGGTGTTGCTAACCAGGTGAGTTTTACTTTCTTCTTTCTCCTGATCTCACCCAATCCTCACGTACAAAGATCATGTTACGTGTCGCATCTTGCAGAAGACAGCAGATCAAGTCGTCTAGATGTCCTGATTGACCCAGGAGACACTGGTGATTAGGATAGAGTATAACACTGAGCTGGTTTGACCATGTGGAGTGAGCTGATCACTTCTACCCCTCACCTGTCGATCTCGTAAATGTAACATATCGTCATTACTCAAACTCTTCATCACTCATCATCTTATCTTCAAATCGTCGACTTTATTCGAGTAGACCTTCCCCGCTCAGATGGTTCCTCAAAGCCAACAAGGACAACATCAACTCCAACAACAGATTCAGATGCAACAACAACAACAGCAGCAGCAACAGATGAATCAGATGTCTGTCCCACAACGAATGCCTTCCATGAGTTCCGTCTCACCTCAACATCCACCACAATCCTCACCAGCAAATAACGCACAAATGTTAGGCAGATCTCCGAACCCTAACAGCGTACCGAATAGGGGTCCGACACCCGTTGGAGGTCGTCCTACCATGGGAACGATGGGAGCCGTACAAGCTTCTGCGTTAATAGACAAATTTCCACAGTTGTTACATATGCACCAAACTGGGAATATGCCTCCTGATTTGGAAAAGGCTGTAAGTTGTGTTTCCATCTCCTGCTTCTGACCCTTACCCCCGACTTGCATGCTTTTCCGCTGTTCTCTCCTCGCTTTCGCGGAGGCCTCGTTGTTGGCCCTGATTGCTTTCTACTCTCAGTTGGGTTCCACCTTCCACTTGATCTTTTGAATATTGGCAATCATATACATATATTAGTCTCTCTCCGACTCCCAAACCTGCGTACTAGTCTCAACCAAGACTTCAGCGATAAGAAGCCAAGTTGAGACGACAACTGATATCAGTTCCGCTCTCTCCTCGCCACTCCCGAAGGCAAAGCTCAACTTGAACGTCACCGAGCAGAACAAGCAAACCTCCTGGTTCAAAATCATCTCTCCAATCCCATCTCGCAGATGCAACACCCTCACCCTGTTCAGACTCCACAAAATGGCATGGACGCCAATCAAGCTGCGATAGCTCAACAACACATCGCCGTCCTTCAACAACAACAAAAGCAGCAACAAGCCCAACTTGCCAATACCAATCAATTCGCACATGTCCTCGGTAACAACTCTGCGTATCAGAATCTTCATAACCCCCAAGTGGTCGCCCAAGTACAACAGCAACTCCAACTACGTCAACTACAAGCTATGCAACGTGGGTCAGGACAAACACCACAGCAAGTGGCCACTCAAGCTGCCGCCTTGGCTCATGCTCAAGCTCAATCACGTTTAATGCAACAGCAACAGCAACAGCAACAAGCCGTTCAGTCTCAGCAACATTCTCAGGGGATGATGATGGCTCAACAACAAATGATGGATAGTCCTCAGCAATTCGCATCTCCACATCCACCGAATCAACAGGCTATGCCGAATCAACCTCAGCCACAAGGACAGATGCAAACGCAGCATCTTCCTACCCAGCAGACTCAGATGGGAGGACAACCGCCATTATCTTTAAACCCTAAGATGAGAGCTACATTCCAGAAACTCATGCAGGTACCTGAACAGCAGAGGGAAGGGTTGTTCGCTCAAGTGAGTTCTCTTCTCAGACAATCATCTGCAATGCTGATTATATCAGCGCCCCGAACTTCGAGCGATGTATCTGGCATGGTTACAACAAGGTCAACAATCCGCTCCGCATATGCAGCAACATCTAAACACGAACATTTCCACCCAATCACCTCATCTAGGCCCTTCCACACCTAATGGCAATCAACCTCGTCCTCCTGCAAATTTCTCCATTGCCAATAACGTACCTAACAACCTCCACATACCCATAAATAGACAACGCAACATCATTCAAAATCAGGTACCTCAATCAGCTTCTGAATCTCCTCGTCCACCTCAACTCCCTACCGTCCCATCTGCTCCCAACCCAAACGTGGTACAAGCTCAGGTCCAGGCCATACAAAGGTTACAATCAATGCAAGGGCTTCAAGTCGATCAAGCAATACAAAATGCCGTCAGACCTACGCCTCCGATCGGAATGTCATCCATGGCGGCGTTATCTAGTCAAATGATTTCACCGAGTATGTTCGTAGCTACCATGTCTGCTCAATCTCAATCTCGTCCACCAATGTCTCAAGTGAGAGAACCGAATGAAAGTGGGATAGTGACTGATCAAACGGGATCTTTACTAGCTCAAAAGTCGTGGGAACCTACGGAAGAGTATGATGCGATGTTGAGGGAGAAGATGAATACGTTTAGATCACCCATGAGAAATAATGACAGGGGTTCCTTGGGTGGGAGAATGGCGAGTAGTAGGTTGTTAGGGGACGTTGTGGTGGAGAAAATACCGGAGGGTTTACAAGCGATTTTGGATGAGACTATGAGTGTGGAAGGAGATGAGGAGAAGGGGGAGAAGAAGAGGGGAGCGTTGGAAGGGAGTGGATTACCAGGACAAAAGAAGAGAAAGGTTCAGGAAATGGCAGAGAGTGTGGATAGGGGTTTGTTGGTTGAAGGGGATGTGGAAATGGTAAGTAAATTGCTTCATCACATCCCTTAATCGTCTTCGCTTGTCTCGTTCGCTCTTCTCGTCCTCGTGCTTCTGTCTTTTGTTATGAAAGTGCTTTCTTCTATCCTCTCCTCAAATTAAAACCTAGTTGGAGACATATTCTGATATGTTGGATCGGAATTGTGGGCAGACTTGATACTGACCATATAGTTGTTCCTTCAATTAGCCGATGAACAAGCCGACACACTATGTCAAGTCAGTGTCGACCTCGCCTCCCATCGGAAATCCAGTACCATTGATAGAAAAGATGTCCAACTTGCTTATGGTATGTCTTCGTATCTGTTCTTCTCCCCCTTCTTTATCCTCCCCCCTCGTTCCATCATTCAGATATCTCTTCTCAATCTTGCGATCATAGTTCCCAATGCCCCGGAAATACCGACCCACACATGTCCCCTGTTCACTCCTCCCTTTTGACCTCTGCCGACTTCACCAATAACCTCACGCCAATCAATTTTCCTCTTAACAAAGCATTCCCATTCACTTGCCTCCAGCTTTAGGTGATAGTTGCCAAACGGATCAGCTCCATCGTACTTGAGTGAAACAAACATTCTTACCCACAGAAATGCTCTCCGGTCGGATCATCCCCGGTTTTTCATCCGATTCCATACGTCTAGACCAATCCCGTACTTCTCGTATGCCCCCAATCCCATCACATCGCGCAACTCGGATAAAATTAGTTGCTGACGCACGCGCGACATGGAGGAAAGAAAGACAAGCTGAGAGAAATGCGGCCGAAGTCACATAATGAGTAACCTCCCATTCATTCACTCACCTCAATTCGTACTCGTCTTCATTTCATGTGGGGCATCTTATCAACCATTATACATTCTTTAGGTTGTAGGTATATACATCAGTAAAGGAGATATGTTTTAAAAGTATAATTTGTTGTTTGGTTGCTATGGGTATATGTATGTGCTGTATGTATTTAAAGTGCCACACTTACAGTGTCCGGGAAGTCCCAGGTCGGATTTTTATCGCGCCTACTCCAGCATCGATCTGATTTCTCCTTCTTCCCCTGGCAACTTTCTTCATATCATGGAAGAGCCAGACCACCTTAACTTTGATTCCCTGTCAAGTGAGCTTGAACTGGATCTTGCATATCCAACAGAAATCTCAGACCTACTACCCATACTCCACAAAGCATACCCCAACAATAATCCTACTGGTAAGAATGGAAAGCGCCCTTCTCGTACGTTTGGCATCAAGTAGGTAGCCCAGACTGCCAGTTGACATCAGCAGCAACCCAATCAGAAACACTAAGAAGCATCATGCAAGGCTACTATTCAGAAGGGATGTCGGACTGGAAAGCAATCAATGAGCGCATCAGACAGGAGCATGGCAGTGAATACACATTTGGGTAGGTCCCTCACATATTTAATTGGAGGAGATATTTACCACAGATCACGATCAAGTTTCTTTCGTGCAACCAAAGCCTTTGGATTAGGTACTGCAAGAAAAAGCACACTCTCAAACCAAGATATCATGCACGCAATGCAAGAGGAGATGGATCAGGACATCACCAATGTGATTGGGATCCGTGCCATGAAACATCGGCTGACTCTACAAGGATTTCTCATACCTCGGTAAGCCCGACAGCTTCTGGATATATGTTGACTTGCATCAGAGACAAGATTTATCATGCAATGAAAGAATACAACCCAAATGGTATTGCCTCACGCCTTCCAAGAAGTAGGAAGATGGTCAGATCTCCAATCATTTCCATTGGCCCCAATGAACAATGGTCCATTGATGGACACGATAAGTTAGCCTCGTATGGAGTTGGGATTTATGGTATACGTGATGTTTATTCAGGCCGTCTCTTGTCCCTACAAGCCATGCCTTCAAACCGGCGGAGTGATGATGTTCATTGCATCTTCATCAATACTGTTGTAAAGGTTGGCGGTGAGTCCACCCCCCACCCCCACCCCCTTCCCCCTGACCTCTCAAGGAGAATGAACACTGACTGACATGTTTCAGGATTTCCTCTGCAATTAGCAAGTGACAGAGGTTCAGAGATTGGTGAAGTCATTGCATCTCAGATTGCTTTTCGGTGAGTTTGGCTACCAATGCTTTGCTCATGAGCAGTAACACCTATTCCTCCATCTCCATCGAAGACATCTTTCCCTATAAACTCCTTAAAAGTACCCGAAATATCACAATTGAAAGATCTTGGAGAAATGTACGAGAGAATGTTGTTGATCAAGTCAAAGTATCACTGAACTCTGCATATGCTTCAGGAATGATCAAAGACGGTGACCCGGTCCATCAGTAGGTGTTTTGCCTTGATAACCCACCGAGTGTTGATGGAAAGAACCCTTCTCAACTGGCTTGTGCCTCATGTGGTTCAGAACGCCCTTGATGAATACCTCCAAATATTCAACTCTTACCCTGTCCGATATCAAAAAGACAAAGTGAATCCCTCAGGAGCATCAAGAAATGAAATTTACTTTCATCCGCAACGATGGGGTGGAAAGGAGTGCTTGCAAGGCTTCCCAGATATGAGTCTTATCACGGACTTCCAAGGGCAAGTTGAGGAAAAAGCACAGCTGGTTTGGGTGTCTCCTGAAGTCCATGAGATATGTTTTGATATAGTTCAAAAAGCTGGACTGTCATATCCCCCAATGAAATGGCATACTGCTTGGGAGCTATTTCAAGCAGTGGAGCCTCAAGCACGAGCACCTCTGCAGAGGCTCTGGCTGGAAACGTAGATATATCTATCTGCCACATGCAACTCTTAACAATGTCCGAAATCCCGCATGTTGGCCAAACTGTCTCCTTCACCCTTTCATCCACACTTCCTTCCATCTTTCTATTGACTTACGCCCATCTGTCTTCTACAAACATGGCCTTCACTTGTCGAGACTGTCAGACCTCCTTTCAAAAAGACTGCTTGAAATCTGAAACCTGCCCAAAGTGCCTCAAGATTGAGCAGGTTAGCACCGACCCAAAGAAAACAGACGAGAGCATACAGTACTATAAGGTACATTGTTCTCTTTCTCACAAGGTACTGCTGACATGTCTTTTAGTCTCGGCCCCAGTGTTTGACTTGTGGGGTCTTTGGAAGCTCTGTCTTTGGGAATACACCAATAGAGGAGAAAGCCAGTCTCAAGTTATGTGACAAGTGCCGTCATGAAAGTCAGTGTCTCCATCAACCTGCGCTCATAGTTAACTTTCCCAGAAGAGACAGACACCCTGCACTTCAATCGTCAACGTGCCCAAGTGGAAATGAATGGTTCTTCCTTTCGTAAAGCAACCCCAATGGCACAGAGTGGAATCACTTCTGGCACAATGCTGCTTGACGAACGATCCTCAAAGAAAGTAGCATTCAAAGCCGGCCTTACGTCACAAGGACCTGCAATGCAGGTCAGAATCATGCTTCGTATGTCTTCTGTTGTAGACTCTCAGTATTTGAGCTGATGTTGTCAGAACAGCAAAAAGTCTTGGAGGAATGGCAATCGACGGTTTTTGATAAAGTGTTTGCAGGGAGGTGGGTAGATACACTTGAGGCAAACATTGGTGAAGCACTCCGACTTGGAGAGCAGATGTGGAAAGAAGGTAAAGGTGAATCCGAGACCCAACGTACCTTTGAGCAGTAGGTCAATCCTCACTTGTCACAGCAATTGTTGTTTATCTTAGATGTTCTCCTCAAGCAGCACTACCAAACCAGAAGGGTCGTCCTGTGGCATTGGCCCCACAGTTTCTGAAACTCACTCTGTACGAGTTTTTTCATGTCCAATGTAAGCAAAACAGGCTGTATCTTTTGGGAAAGGATCTGGAGCAAGCTGGATATATCTTGATCTACCTCATACTCAATATTGAGGACGTGGTACGTAGAGTTTCAGTAACTGCTTTGCCCACCCTGCTTACCCAGAAGCCAAGCTATGAGCTCCCCCAGCCCAGTGAGGAGTCACATTCCTCTCAATATTCAACCTCTCTCACTCAGTCACGAGCTGTTCAACGAGCTTCTCGTCGCTCAACTCCATACAGTCGTCCGTCAACAATTATGTCCCAAACAACACGTTTCTCTGCAACACAGTCTTCCACGTCTCATTTCTCCGTTGATCAACTCACAAGGATCAAAACTGGCCTTGCTAATGAGAATCAAGCGGTCACGAGGTACGTGAGCATACTGAGAAGCATCCATAGCCACTAACTCATGACAGGTATACAGAGCCTATCAATAATCTCTTCGCTGGATTCCATGTCTCAAGCCTTCCAGCACCCAATAAGGACATACTCAGTATGTCAACATCCTACATGAATGATTCAGCAGCTGATGTCTAGGTCGTATGGCCAGTGCGGTCTCACAGGGAGATAGTGTTGTTTTTGAAGACATTGAGTTCATCAAGACCGACTTCCAGCGTAAAAAGGATGGGACTTTCATCGTGGTGCAGAGCAAAACACTCAACGGATTGATTGCAAACAAAGCGTTTGACGAAGGAAGTCATAAGCAGGCTTTTGAGGTATGTATTACTTGTCCAAATATATGGAAGATTATTGATGATAGAAGTTTTGTTACAATGACTTTGAGCTAGTCGCAAAGAAGCACTTCCGCTTTGATCATCGAGCTTGGCAGTTGGCAACAATGACCGAGAACACGAACCACCAGCTCCTTGAAATGGAGTGCAAGAAAGCAATCCTTATTGCGTCATACCTCAAAGCCTTCTCCGAAAAACTTGTGGAAACATATGACATGCTACCAGTTCCAACACTCATATACACACCATGCTTCCTGATGACTTCACCTACCAAGAAATCGTATATGGTTGAACCTGATCTCCGATCCATTGGCAAGTACATCAAGATCAACAATACCGATGAATTCATCATGCCTGATGAAGCAACCATCGAGAAGAGTGATGTACACCTCTACCGTTTCATGCACGCCTTCATCCATTTTGTCTTCCACATGTCTGCTAGTAGTGGAAAGTCAATCAAGGCTCAGGAAGAAGCAATGGTTGTTCTTGCAGATATCCAAGGTCTATTCCTCCTCAGATGGTCAGCGTAGAGAAAGCAACTGATGAATAGGTTTTCGAACTAAACCTTCTGGACAGAGAAAAAACGGAAAGCGTGACTATGGGGAGTTCCATCTGTTTGATGTTGTGACACACACGTGAGTGTTTCCTGTCATGTTAGCAAACTGTGCTTATGGGGAGTGCTCGTGGTGATTCAAGCATGGGTGATGGAGGGGCAGGGATGCTAAACCTCTTCATTAATGACCACATTTGTGGGGACGCCTGTATACAGCTTGGTTTGAAGACTGCCAAAGGGCATCCAAAGTCCTTCCCCAATCCCTTTCGCATCATCTCCCTTCGTGTGTTTCCTTGGTGGCTCACTCAGGCAAATGATGAACAGCTTCTAAAAGAGCGAGCTCAACAGAAAGCTGCTGAGGAACGTCTTGCTTTGGAAACAGAGAAAGAGACAGAGACAGAGACCTCAAACCAAGGCTTGGAGGAGCCTCTCGATGGAAATGGAGACGCAACTTGAACATCCAGTGAGTTAACGAGTGAAGAATGAGATAGAAGCTTGTCCTGATATCAGTCACGTCATAATGATGTCACAATCAATGGGATCAAGACATAAAGATTGAGTAAAGAAAGTATGCATTGAATATTCATGGTTCATCTACCTGTATCTCCTCTACCTCACCTTCGTCAAAAACCATCAAGTTCTCTGAATCCATCCCTTCTAGAGGACCACTCACAATCTTTCCATCCTCCTCCTTCCCCAGTAAGCTTTCAACATGACGACAAGTATAAAATATGGCTGTTATTCTCCCTTGCCTTGCTGGTCCCTCCCCCACAGCGTGATGAATGAGATTAGATGTAGGAGCAATGAGAACATCCCCAGAATTCAAAGCTGCCTCAACATGTAATTGGGGAAAATGTGTAAAGCCAGGATCACCTGAAAGTTGTGTGAAAAAGGTGGGAATTGTATCAACGTCATTTTGATCAAGGTGAGGAATTCGAGCTTCACCATAACCTATGGCTACTGCCATTGCCATTCCCCCAAATCTTGTCCCACTTTCATTCCCTTTCTTGCTTTTACCAATCTTTCTGGTTTCTTCCCCCTCCGGTATAGTACCCTCAACAGCAGTTGCATCACGACCTTGATGGTTGATGAAATAAGAGTAGTCAACTGTGTCTTTGTCTACATAGGAGTATTGGCGTTTGTAAGGGTCACAGATATATTGTTCAAGAAGGCGAAGGAGAGTAAGTGCAGCTTGACGTCGTTTGTTCTGAAGAGGGGTGGGCTGGTTGATCTTTTCTCGTGTTGTCTGATTTGTATCTTTTGTGACTCCAATCGAGTTTCCCTGTCTGCGAACAATCCCCAGATGGTAAGGGTGGAGCCCTTCCACTCCTTCTCGCCTTTGTGAGCTTGACACATGCTTAAACGGCTTTAAGTCATTGAAAGTGTGAAAAGCTTGAAGCATTTTGTCTCGCTTGTAAGTTGGAATTAAGTGAGGAAGACGCAGAATGTGGTATGGTAGTCCATTGACTTTCATAGAGTTTGGAATACCTTGTGGGACGGGCTGGTTGAGTTGTCGTGGAGGGCCAAGGTTGAGGCATGCCAATCGATGGAGGACAAGGTCGATGTTCTGCTGAGAACGACCATGAAGACGCAGATTTGGGTCTTTGAAGTGTGGCAGAGTAAAGAAGTGAATAAGATCGGAAGGAATGCTGGGTTCCAAGATAGAAGATTCATCCAAACTTTCCATGAAACGCCGTTCTAGCTTCTGATGGTACGTCTCTCGATTTTTGCTATGACGACTCTTTTTCTTTTTGGAAGGGTTGACGTTGCTCTCGGAAGGGGTGGTATCAGGGGGTGGATGATCGGCTTTTGAATGGGACATTGTACGAGGTGGAAATGTGACAGAGGAGCGTCAAGGACTCATAAACACACACTCTGTCGGGGATAAAGGAAGGAAGTGACAGGAGATGGATAGGAGATGGATAGGAGATGGACAGTGAAAAGGGTAAAGCGTGAAGCTCTGTTGGTCAGCTTGAAGCAGAAGAGGAAAGAGAGAGACAAAGAAGAGTGAGCAGGAGTGCACTGTACGTACCAATATCCCACTTCTGAAATCCTTCCGTGACAGTATCTGTCCCGTCCAAGTCCGTGTCAAATTCTGCTTTCTATAATCTCCTTCTTCCGTTCTATGATCTCCACGTTCCGTTCTATGATCTCCAAGTTCCGTGACGATGTCTGTCCTGTGTTGATGTCTGTGTTGTATGAGGATGTTTGCGTTTACAATGATGTTTGCGTTTACAATGATGTTTGCGTTTACGATGATGTTTGCGTTTACGATGATTTTTGTGTTTACGATGATGTCTGCGTTTACATTGATCTTCTGCGTTGAAGAATGGTCTCTCGTTCCGTGATGATGTCTGTTCCGTGATTATGCTGAAGAGTATTTGAGGTGAGTCAAGTGAGAGAGGAGAAATACATGAAGAGAGTAAAAGTGGTGATAAAAATTTTGAGGCCGCGCGGCCTGCCTGGGACTTCCCGGACACCGTACACACTGCCACCAAACCTCCACGTTAAACTCACCATCACTACTCTCGATTCTTCCCTTCTCCAGATTCTGTATACATATTCTTACCTCAACATCAATATCTAACCAGACATATCATTCTCTCCGTGTTTTCAGACCAAGGAAGATCTCTTAATTCCATCGATCGTGGATTGGCTCACAAGTGTCAGAAAGTGAAACGAACAATAAAGCTTTCGCACTCTTACAATCCTTCCACCTGAAATTTACTTCGGTTCTCAACGCCCTTCTTCTTGTTCAACATCATCATTCTTTTCATTCCAACCACTTTTCACAATTATCACTCGCTACCTCTCTTCCGGTTCTGGAATATAGAATACAGAATACAGAATATCAATACGATACGATAATAGAACATACTTCACTTCCTAGGAGATATAGGGTGAATATCAATATTATCCTTCCGATAAATCCCACCCTACTGCGTAAATCGATTTGTCAAGATTTTCGTTGTCAGGAAGATCAGATATCCTTCTTGAATTTAGTCTAATCCACTGGACTTCTCATAAAGTAGGTCCACTACTCAGAGAAGGAGGAATATACTTTCCTCCAATTCTATCAGAAACGAATCTCGTTCGAATCTTCGTATCCACTCAAATTTGGAGACTATCACTTAGAGGTGGAAGAGGATACAAACGATAAACCGTGTCTACGCAAATCTCTTAACCGAAGTGATAGTGCCCAAAGATCAAATTGGACAAGAAAGAAAGAAATTACGGATACGGATACAGATACAATTTGATCTTCAACCTTCTGTGGGAAGTTAGGGCGACGACGGAAAATTAGAAAAGGAGAGAAGATAAGGAGAGAGAAAGTAGTCAGGGAAGAGAAGGAGATATAGAAAGAAAACAAAGAAATGTCTACACCAATACCTGTCGTTCCTCCTACTGGGGAAACCGCTTCACCTGCTGATGAAGAATTTTACGCATCGTCAGTCTCTTTAACTTTATCTTTCTCCCTTTCTCCCTAAACCCCCTCATCTTCACAACAAACCCTCATGACCTACTCATCGTGATCACGAGGTCTTCAAATTACGAATCTCTGACTCTATCTTATCCATTGTATCGGCACCTTTTCCCTGCTGTCTGCCATCTAACATCTGCCCTGGTGAATGCGAAGTCGTAGACGTTTGGATATTTGACTGGACCAATCGGTCTATTGACAGCGGACGAACACCATGACTTTTCTTGAAATTTAGCCCCTTCTTTCTTTCCATCACTATCGAGTTGGAAATAACACCCATTAAATTTCTTATTGGGACAAGTGCATGGCGTATCCAGGTGGTGTGAACAGGCAGGAAAGCAAGGAGGTAGAATGGGAGAAAGAGAGAATATAATCACTAACACTCAGATGGGGTCTTTGTATCCTTTGCGTACTCCTCATAGGAGCTCTTGTAACTTCTTATTACCTTCAAATCAAACGGATTAGAGCGGTACATGAAACGGTTGTATCTATATTCGCTGGGATGGTAGTGGGTTTGATCATACGACTCAGTCCAGGACATTTGATAAGGGAGATGCTGGTGAGTTTCTTTTCTTTTCTTCTCCAATCCTATCCTCTTCAATAGTAGACCTTTTTACCCCCTCTCTCTCCTGCCGCGCTCTTCGTCTCACTCGCCTTTCTTCTCTACATCGCGGGGTTTTCAGAACAGGACTAAATTGGCTTCTCCTCTGACATCAACTCGTCGTTTATCACGAAAGACATTTCCTCACTTGACTTACCGCCTCTGTCTCGGGGCTAGGGACAGCTGCGCACCGGACCGAGAGAAGTAACACAGCTGAATGATAGTCTTTCAAACACACCCTTTTCTTCAATCTTCTTTTACCACCTATCATCCTCAACTCGGGCTACGAATTAAAACAAGTACGTTCTGTCCACCCTGACAACGATGATGAACTGACAGAAAGGAAAACTTTTTCCGCAATTTCGGAGTGATTTTGACATTCGCTTTTCTCGGGACTTTCATTTCGGCCGTTGGTATTGGGTGAGTTTTATCTCCTCGCATCCACTTCCTCCTCCGTGACTTTCATTCTCACCATCACTTTCTGTATATTTTCAATCTCTTCACAGTTTACATAGGGGGTATGTATCTTGCATGTCTCGACTATTTTTGAACCCACTTCATATACCGTTTTCACATGTAGCTTGCAGTGATTATTTCCGTCAAGCTAATGTTCAGTGTTCTAGTATACATTTGGTCCTTCCTTGGCTTAGAAGGTCTGAAATTCACTCTCCTTGAATGTCTCATTTTCGGATCCACCCTCTCCGCCACTGATCCCGTCACGATCCTGGCTATCTTCAATACTTACAAAGTGGACCCCAAGCTGTATAGCGTGATTTTCGGAGAGAGTATATTGAATGATGCTGTCAGTATCGTCATGTACGAGTGAGTGGCATACCTTCTCGCAAAAAGCTCCTCCCCCACCCCATTTAGCCATTAAGCTCCCCATAGCTCGACTATAATCTAGCCCTTCCTATAAATACATGTCCTGCTCTCACGGTCACAAAGAACCGACTTGGGCTTCACGGACGGACTCAGAGCTGATCTTACAGAACCCTCTCTCAATTTCATGGCGAAGACATTTACCTTTCATCTCTCTTCCACGGCGTTGGCATTTTCCTTTTCTCTTTCCTCGTCTCTATGGCTCTCGGCGTAGCTTTCGGTCTAGTCTGTTCTCTCGGTCTCAAACATAGTCATCTTGCGACTTATCCTCATATTGAATCTTGCCTAGTGGCTTTGGTAGCTTACACCAGTTACTTTTTCTCTAATGGGATTGCGATGAGTGGTGAGTTGATATTCATGTTTCTGTTTTGTCTCCCAATGGCCACTGAGACATGCCCACCCCCTCTTTCCTGGCTGTCATTTTTTGCACCCCTTCGCACAGTGGCCATGTATTCTGAGGTGCGTGAAAGAACAGATGGAAAAGGCCCCATTGTCCAACCCTCTGGCTCGTCAATGGGTTCATCTTGACACAATGTAGAAGGAAATTTCTATATGATTGTCTAATCTATTATGGCTGTGTGTTGACTGACCACCAGGCATCGTATCCCTCTTATTCTGCGGAATCACCTTGAAACACTATGCCTATCATACCATGTCAAAGAGGACCCAACGGACGACAAAGTACATGTTCGCGGTCTTGGCCCAATTATCGGAGAATTTCATTTTCATCTATCTCGGTTTGAACTTGTTCACGCAGGACGTGCAGGTGTTCAAGCCTTTGTTTATTCTTGTGTCAGCGGTGAGTTTGTGTTCCTTGTCTGCTCATCGTTTCCATGTCGTCCATCTATTTGCCCACTTCGGCCTCGCTGCGACACAGCGGAGTGTACTTTTTCCAAATTATATCGACTTCGTGTGGTAGACGGCTCGCTGCCGTGGCTTTCTGTCGGTGTCCGGTGAAAGGTTCTACCTGTATTCAGTATTGTGAAAGACCAGTAGACGATCTGATAAATCAAATAGGATGTGGTCGCTAATCCCAGATCGCCGTCATGGCTTCTCGCTACGCTGCCGTCTTCCCCCTCTCCGAGCTCATCAACTGGATCTACCACACCCGAGGTCAACGTAACGAAGAACTTCCCCATTCTTACCAAATGATGCTTTTCTGGGCAGGTCTCCGAGGAGCCGTCGGAGTGGCTCTAGCTGCCGGTATAGAAGGCGATAACGCCGATGCTCTCCGGACCACCATCCTAGTCGTCGTCGTCTTGACCGTCATCGTCTTTGGAGGTACCACCGCTCGTATGCTCGAAGTTTTAGGTATACGCGTAGGAGTAGAAGATGAAGATGCTTCCACAGATGAAGAAGAAGGTTGGACTTCTCACGCTGGTAATTTAGCATTACAAATGGGACCAGGATCAAGACGATACATCTCACAAAATGGAAGAGGTTACGAAAATGAAGATGATATAGATTTACAATCTCAACCTGGTGATTCACCTTATCTTCAAGTATCACCTTCAAAAAGATATCCAGGACGTAAAATATCTGGTAGATCTTATGATTCTTCAAGAAACGCATCACGTTCTGGTTTTTCAAGTAATACTTCTGAATCTGAAAATGATGAACCATTACCACCTATCCAAAACGCTGGAAATTCACAACATCCCTATGGGGAATATTCAGGTGGTGGTGGTGGTGTAGGAGGAGAAGAAAGAGGACAAAAACCAGGAATGGTTTTCAAAGATGGACAATGGTTCACAACTTTGGATGAAAGATATTTATTACCATTATTCAGTAACAGCGTCACGGCAAGAAGACATCATGCTAAAAAAGCAAAAAGAGCTAGTGTTTATAATGGTGGAGAAAGTGGAGTAGGTACACCGAGAGTTGGAAGTAGTTTTGAATTAAGTAGAGAAGAAGATAATGTTGGGGATGGTGAAAGTGAGAATGGTAAGAATAAAATTCAAAGAACGTTTTCGTGAGTTATTTTCTTCTTTTCCTTTATTGTGGTACTCGATTCCTCATTCCTCCCTCCTCCTCCCATCACTGTCAGATAGTAAATACTCTCACTCCATGCTCAGATTACCGTTATGGGAGAAATCGTTCATGTTTTCTTCTCAACATCAATATGTGATGTTGTCAAGTGTCAGATGTGTCAGATTTGAAACATGATTGTCACAAGTGTCAGATGAGAAACATAGAAAGAGAGAGAGAGACTGATAAAACCAGTGGATCCGTTTCCGATTTTTTCTTTTCTAAAGCGGATGGACAAGGTAACGGTTCTCCAACTACAGATCCACGAAGAAGAGGTAGTAATGATAAGTCTAATCAGGTAGATAGGGAGGGAGAGAGAAGAGGATGAGGGTCTAGGAATCTTCTTTTTTTTGCATTGGTTCATGATGAATAAGGGAGACGTATCATTAGGATAGAATGCATGGATTTTTGTGTATCCAGTCATTAGAGTCTTCAGTTGAGATTTGGTCCGCACATTGACCTCTTGAACCCCTTTTTGTTGACCCCTCACTGGATCTCTGGAGAGAGCTCAAAGATATCATCTCCTAGTCTGGACAGAGCACACTGATACACTGAGCAGTCCCCTAATCCCGATTCCATGTAGAATACGAATACTACTCTAGAGTACTCTAAGCTCCATCCATAAACCATGAACCAACCAAGATCCATGATCGCGTCTCATGCCGTCACATCTGGTACAAACGGGTCGGAACCGGAATTTTTTTTGACCCTCTCCGATCCTGCTGGACCTAGTTACCCTGTGACCCCACGTTCCCACCTTCAGCCGGCAGCTCGTACCAAGGGCAAAGGGAGCAAAGGGGTAAAGGGAGGAGAAGGGAAACCCTTCGGAGAAATGATTTCAATTGGCTTTTGTTTTTTGGACCTCGACATGATCCTCCCCACTTTGTTTCCCCTGTTTTGTAGGGGTGGTGTCAAAGATTTGATTTGACGCGGTGTCCGTACAGACAGCTTGATACTATGCATCTTAGTTTTCTTTTACTACTACACTAATTAATCCTTCTTTATCTCTTTCATTACAATCTACATCGAAGATCCATCCTTATTGAGCTACTCCCAGATTTAAAGTGATAGTTTGTGGATCAGTGGCTGGACTCTGATAAATCCGCGATCCGTCAATTGCCAAGATCCTCCCCCTTCCCCTCACCCACTTTTTTTGATCTCAACGCCCTTTCGACAAAAAACCTCTCATTCATACATATCATCTTCGCCCTCTCTATATATATTCTTAATATCTTCCTTATCCTTCTAACAATCCTCGAACATCTCTCCAACTGGTCTAAGTCAATTCGTGTTCCATACCCGTAAAGTTGGAGCAACACCTCGGAACCCGATTTCATACACTTTTTCCGGATCTAGAATCCCCCACTCACTTTCGAGTGAATAACATCTTCACACTCTCAACTCGATAACATCTTCACACTCTCTACCATACCAAACTTGACATATCAACCAAAGTTGGAATTATCAAGAATCAAAAAAAAATGAGAGGTGAATATTGTCTTTATGGAGCTACGGCTTTAAGCGCTATGGCTATTATCTTACTTGTTTTCGCTCATATTGGTCAAGTATCAAGTGGGGCGGTTACAAGTGGGATTTATATGGCACAGATTAACGTTGCTGCGTGAGTTTCTTCTTCCCCCCTATCTTCGTTTCCCTCCACCCTACAACTTTTCACGTATTTCCGTATTAGTTTTACTCAAAACGTTGACCTCTCTTTCTCCAGTTGACACCCCTGCGTCTGTGCGCTTTCAGGATTTCAGTCATTCTTCATGTAAAAATCTCCACCTTACTTCACTTCTCCTCTACTTTCCTTTTCCTCATCAAGTAAAATTGATAAAGGTTACCCTGCGTAAAGACAACAGAGTCATCTATCTCTTTCATCTCTTGCAGACTCGAAACCCCCCCAGTTAGACCTGCCTTTTACCCTTGGTTCACTGCTAGGAGAGTCGGAGAACTACACAATTTTGCTATGCCTGGAAAGGAGAACTGATATCAGCTACGGAAACGCTTATCAAGGTGGTACGGGTGATTCAGCAGGAGGATTATATGATACGAAGAATGACGCTCTGGGAACTGGGAAAGGATTGAGACAATATTATCGGTATGGTTTGTACAGTGAGTCGTCATCTCCACTGTCTATATATATCCATCCTATATTGTTCTTTCGCCCATTCTTAATTCTCAATATATACCTCTCATAGTCACAATGATTCTGTATCCCACTGATTTTCTTACTGCTCGATACTGTGTTTGAAATCATTGTCCCTCCTCTCTGACAGTCTTCTCCTCGTCTTTCTCCCACACCGTCTTCAAACCTCCCGCACCGTTTCCGAATCGACGAGACGTCGCTAACAGATACTATGAGGGAAAGATAGATATCAAGAGGGATTCAGAAACAACGATCAACTAACCCTCAGACGCATGTGGATATCAAAAAGATGGTTCTGGAATTTGTAACGGTACAATATTCGGTTATCCCATGGAACCACTCAGTCAAATACTAGCCGACACACCAACGAAATTCAAAACTCAGACTAATGATATCATTCCTAGTTCTACATTCAAAGATAATGGGTTTAATCATGGGTTAAGCAGAGGAGGTAGTTTGTTAATCTTCGTCAGTTTTTCTTTCCTCCCCCTCCTTCACCTTCCCAGAACGTATCATCTCCCTCGAACTCCCTTGTTCTGGCCATACTACTTCACCCTCCATCATTTATTGCAGCCCCCTTTTCTCTGGAACGCGGTCAGTTTGAGTGATAATGCGTGAAACCTCACCAGGGATGATAAAAGAAGCCAAGGTTCAAAGCGCTTATATGGATTACTTCTGACATTCAGGTCGGTTCAGTATTCGCAGTCATCTCAATAATCTTCGGCGTTCTCAAAGCTAGGATTTGTTTCCTCATAGCTGCTGCTTCGGCAGGATTCTCCGCTTTGTTATTGATGATGTGAGTTTCTTTTCTTTCTGATTCGTCTCCCTGTCCTTCCAGAGTTGAGCAATCTCGTTCATCTACCCCTCACGAAAAACAACATCCGCGTCATGTCTTTGATCAGACAATTCAGCTTCGAATCTCACATCTGATCACTCCCTCGTTTGTCATAACAGTCTACCAGACCTACCAGCTCACCTGCCTTCTCTCGAATCCTTACTATTTCGTAACGCTCCTTAAGCCTAGTGATGAGATAGTTCTCTAAGCGCATGTCAAATGAATTTCACTGACTTACAGCGGTGCGGCCATGTGGACTTCTTTAATCGCCAAAGACGCTTGGCTGAAAATTGTCAAAGTCAAAGGTGGTACTTTGTTAGGTATCTACACTACGGGAGGAGCGAGTTTATGTGAGTTGTTTCTCTTTTCCACACTTCCCAATTCATCTTGAAATGTCCACTTTCGCTCCCCTTTCCCCTGATCCCTGGATTCCTGGATTCAACACTGCAGAGAAATCTCCAGCACTCCCCGACATGATCTAGTCATAACTGTTCACTAATGTCAGACCTCACATGGGTAGCATTCGTCTTAATGACATTATCAGTCATTCCTTATGTCGTAGCATGCTGTACTTTCCGAAGGTAACTCTCTTGATATCTTGACTTTGTCACCATTCCCGCATTTTTCTTTTCTCAGGACTTTCCTCGGAAAAGGGAATTGTACAAACTACATACCCACTCTTTCGAACCATCTTTAACGAGTATCATGACTTTTCTTCTTTGTTTCGTATTTATTTTTTGATGCTATGCATGCGTCGAATGTCCTTTTTTGTTTTGTTTTTTTCGTTCATTAAGATACAATTTATAAACCCTAACTTGGCCTTACATCCTTTGCATACGACTATTCATCATACCAACTTGTCGTCTCCTATATTCTCTTCTCTCTTCAGTCATATCCATCCCACCTACCTTTCCCCATCCAGCTAAAGGGACGACTATACAAGTACAATTATCATTAGCACCTAAATCTTCTGCGAAATGTACAATTGTTTTCGCTGCTCTTGTTGGATCTGAAGCGTTTCGAGCTAGGTCGATTAATTCTTGATCTGACATGAGAGAAGTGAGACCGTCGGTCACTAAGATGAGATATGAGTAGTCTGAGCCTGCGAGTTAGGTCATACATCCTTATTAGGACTATAAGTGTATATGGGCGGGGTTTCCTGGATGATTGTGTGAATGACACGGAATTTGATGATACGAGATACCGAGGTAATTCAGAGCAAACGCAGGGATGTCGAAGAGTTAGGATGGGGGTTGGTACTGATGAGTTGAGTCTGTTGAGTCGAGGGAAGATCAAGTTGAGGGCAAGTATAGACGAGTGGGTGATAAGGATGGACAGGAAATGAAGAAAAGTTTCAAGTGAATGACATTGAATGCAAGGGGAAAAAGTAAAGAGTGACTAACCATCAATGACACGAGTAATAATTTCAGGTTCGGCTGTTACTCCTGATGATTTCCATTTCCCATCTCCGAACCTATCCGATCAGTCTGACTTTCCATTTCCACGATTTCTCCCTCTTGTTCATCGTTCGACAAATCCGAAGACGGAGAGAGACGCAGAGGAGAAAATGGTATGATCATATCAAAATATGACAAGGGGAGTAGGACTCGAACTCACCCCCGCGTATTCTCAATAGCCCCCATCCATCTCGTTTCTCCGAAAGAATCAGCAACCAACCTATCAGCTCCCATACGTCTTAATCGAGCTGCTTCAACGCGAGCTTCGGCATGATGACGTTCTGTTAAAGTGTGTACTTGACCAGTAGGACGATGACATAGTAATGCTTTTGTGTCGCTGAACATTAGCATTCGAAAGGAGTATGAGAAGTTCCGTCACAGAGTTAGACTTCCTAGTGCTGATGTCGATACATGAAGCGATATTGACATATAAGCTGACGAGCGAAGCAGAGAGGAGCACGATGTAGAAGATGTGCTACGAAACGTAGTATACGAAGAGAGAGATAAGGCACAGATGATAAGTGGTCATTATGAGGAGAGAAGAATAAGGATCAAATATCATCTGGTCCAAGGACACTATGTACACGTATAAAGGACAAAGTCAGGAATATGTGAAATACTCACCCGCAATGCCCAATAATCATATTAAGTCTTTTTGAAGACCAATATGGTTGACCTGGTGAATCCAACGAATGAAGCAGAGCGACTGTACCAGTCGATCCACATCTCTCAGCATTGTTCACCCTTTCTAGAATATCGCGATCGGCCTGTAAGTCAGCTGTCTTCGCAAAATGTCACAGCCGTATTTGAAAATGCATCACAAATTGACGCTTGGATAACTCGTGAGGATACCCATATGAGAGCCTTTTGAGAAAAGGTGGAATAAACGTACTTACCTGTAAAAAAGCCAGAGTCAAACGTTCATCCAACATCAACCCTTGATCTTTCTCCCTTACCAATCTAGACAGATTACCCCCTCTCCAACGTCGATAATAACCCCCATGTCGTTCTTTTGTCCATGAAATCAGCTCTTCAGCGAAAGAAGGTTCCACAGATTCTATGAGTTCATGAAGATGATCACGAAGAAACCCTGCTACATCTTTTCCACCATGTCTTCCCATTAGCCCTCATATACCCAATATTCATCAGATGAGATATACTTACCCATCATATATCCCAAAGAATGCTACTTGACCAGCTAAGAATTCCGTACCGGATGATAGAGGATCCCATTTGATCTTGCTTCGTTCTAACGTTCTCGAGATCTCCTTTGGGTCCAATTGAAGGGCGTGAACGGCAGAAGCGTCTTCTTGATCTCTTTAATATCAGTCGTGATCCGACTCTATGGAATGATCTATCGAGAAGACGAGGAGCACAGAGGGGGAACTCACAGTCTTGATCCTCTGGAAGAGTAAACACCAACGATTTTAGAAGAACTGAGAGGGATTTTATATGTTCCTGAAAAGTCAACTCACGCCCGGGTAAAGTGGGGGACAAGGTGAAGAAGACTGACCGTGATCGGCAGGACCTCTGATATAATCGTGGAATTTACGTCGCTTGTGTATATATGAATGATTCTGGAGAAGACGAAAGAAGGGATGGTAAAGAGATTTAGTCATACCCAGACCATGACTGGGTAAAAAAGTTGTATAAATAAGGATGGAAGGAAAGTCGAGACAAGAGATGAATGACGCAAGGATGTTTCACTTTCACTTCTCTTCCTCCACTCTTCCACTCTTCTTTACATACCTTCGTACTCTCGGATCCGAACGACCCATCTGTACATCTGAACTCAACTCTACTGGAGTCCTTTCTAATCGTTCTGTATCATGGCATCAAGATGAACGCTTCTTCAAATGAAGATGAAAGTCCTCTACTTGCTCTACCAGTCACATCCATGTCATCGGCCTCTCGAAGATTACAAGCTAGAAGATATCTCGCTCCTCCCGCGCTCTCCAGCAAGGCCAAAGGCAAGCAACGTGCGATCAGTCCTGAACTCGATTTGGACCCAGAAGGGTCAAGGGGAAGCGGAGTGAATGTCGAGAATGAAGATGACGAGAGTCTCAGGAGGATGGAAGAGGAAGTACGAGGAAGATGTGTGACTATTATCTTCTCAAACGAAGAAGGAGGGGGAAATCTTGAATTGTGGGTTGAGGAAGGGGAGACTGTTGCAAGTGTCAAAGATCAGGTGAGAAGTTTGTCAACTCTTCACCCCATCCTCCCCTTCCCCATCTAAACAAGGTCGTATAGAGCCGCCAGAAGTAATCAGGCTATGACCTTGTCGCCAAGTCAGTTCTTGTACAAGTACCCCACAAGTCGCGGGTTGCAGGAACGAAAAGCTAACGTCCAGATTCGTCATCTTCGTCCTGCTCTCGCACCACTATCTCTCCGACTCATTCACGCAGGTCGTCTACTCACCGACGGTATTTTACTCTTACCCTGGTTAAGATCATTGGAAGAAAGAGTTAAACGACAGTCGAATGGTGTAGGAGCCGACCTCGATAATGTTTTGAAAGAAGTGGGACAGGCATTAGGGGATGAATCACCACCTATTGTGGAAAATCGAGTGAAAGGGAAGGAAGAAGATGGGAAAGTATGGTTACATTGTAATGTTGGACCTAAGATGGAGGAGGTGAAAAGTGGTGTTAGAGAAACAGAAGTGAGTTTCTCCAATGCTGTCGACTTCATCTCTCCCCTTCTACATTCCTCCTCCTTGTGATCTTCTGAGCATGATGACTCCCCTTGTTTGCCCTGTCTTGCAATCCTTATGACTCTTCACTCATTCCTGTTCGTTGTCGTATCCTCATCCAATCATCTCTCGGTCACTTCTGTATCCTATTCCACACTTCTGCCTCCCATGTCGTCAAAGTCATTCAACCTGTTGAGCGACTGTCCCATAGACACGGCTCGTATCATAGTAGCAGAACATAACAAGAGCCCGAGATCGACCAGATCAGAAATGTGATAGACGAATCATTGATAAACAGCCCACCCCTGCTCAACCAACAAGAAGAGGTTTTGACGTCCTTCTCGACGCCGGTCTCTCGCCTGAGGATGTGGCCAATATGCGTCGACAATTCTACGCTGGTAGAGGGGAAGAAGTCCCTGAGGGTTTAGACGGCGATGGAGCCAGTGGGTCATTTCCCATTTACTTTCTTCCGGTGCTCAATAAGATCGATCCAAGTTGTATTCCCCATTGCACTAAGGTGTCTCAGACTCGGCACAAGTGAGATGAAGACAGGGTCGATCACGACTTTAGATTCCCCCTGTAATTTTTGTGCTAATGGATAGATGACGAACATGCTAGGGCTTTGGAAGAACAATGGATAGAAGGGGATTTAACGGCGGAGACTGCTTTGAGTGAGTCTTCCAAAATCCTCTTGTGCTTGCTCTTCATCACTTTCATCTTCATCGCATGTTCCACTTGTCCCATCATTTACCAAGTGATAACTCCATCCTCTCCCTGTAGCTCCTCCCATCCTCTCAAGTTTCTTAAACTTAACACGCGGGTAACTCTCTTTCCCGCCGTCAATCGTCGTCACCGTTCTTCACAGCCACGTCTTTAGCACACAAACCCACCTCATCGAAATCTCTCAGTGATCAGGAACTCAGGTGATTAAACGGTGTAGGGGAATATAAGAATTGACAAAATAGCAACAACAGAAGGAACTTTTACATCCACTTTCAATGGTCTAATAATAGGTTTCCTCTTACCACTCTTTGTCATATTCTTTTTTCAAGAACCACCCCTTCCTAATTTTTTCGATGCCGAAGCGGAAATACCAACTTCAACAAATTCACTTTTTCTCCTCACCGAAAACCCTTCATCCAATCCGACCGCTCAAACCTCGATCTCCGAAAGAAGAGATCATCTCCATTCCACGGACAATCCAACAAATCCAGATCCAATCGTATCCTCTGAAGAAAGAGAAGAAACATCTATCAGATCATCTTCTCTTAGAGAAGAAGAATCAAGAAGAAATTTACAAAACTTCAATTCTACTTCGTCCACGGAAAGAACAACTTCATCAAGAGGAAGATCCAACATAGATAGGAATCTCAATCCGTCAAATAACGAAGAAGAATTAAGATTGATCAGTAGTCGTGTAGCTGAGAATCCTGCTGTAGGTTCAAATCAATTGAATGCAGGTGTTTTTGATGTTCGAACTCAAGTGAGTGATTTATTTCATTTCTTCCTCATTATCAAAATATCTTCCCCCCCCCCCCGTTTTTCTCTACGTTTTTCACCCTTGTTTCTCTTTCCCTTTGTCTATCCTTCATTATCCGCCCGCCAAATCATCTTACTATACACCTAAATTCCTCAATACACCATTGACACATGTCGTATCTGAAACCACACGAATCCGACTTTTGTATCACACAACAATCATGACTTGACATGTTCCTCTTCATCTCACTGTTCATACCCCATATTTGGTCTGTTGACATATTTGATCATATACAAAGTATCAGTTTTGCAGATAACTAATGTCAGATGGGTTTAGTTATCGGTACTATCTTAAATGTTGTCTTTGCTTCTTTGAGGTTTTTGAATTGATACTACTATATGTATATGTATGTAAATCATGTGATACCTCCTTCTCATCTATTTGCCGGCTCTTAAGCTCGTAGATCATAGATCATAGATGAGTCAATGAGGTTGTTGGAGTTGGAGAGAGGGACTTCCCTTGTCCATTTTCACATCCAGTTGACACAGCTCACGATCCTATTGATTCCCCTTAAACAACACTGCTCACGACGAAAACACAACGAAAGTTCAAGATCATCAACGTTATCAGATGTTATATGAGGGTGTGATCAGTAGATGAAGAAAAAACATGTTTCAGATTCCCGATCAGTGAAATAAGATCCTTCAGATAAGAGTGCGTCGGCATAATGTACTGGAGCAAGCAGAAAACATGAACAAAAAAAACAACATCGTCATTCATCTTTCCACCAGACCTTCTAGGTCTTCATCATCCAACCTTACCATCTCCCCAAACTACACTTCCATCTTCAAAAAAAAGAAAAGAAACCCCCTCAACATGATCGTATTTCCCACTTGATGGAACAAAAAATACCCTTTTATTGTCCTTCGTTGATCGTTCCTCGTATTTCTTCCAAGAGACATTCTGATAAAATCATTCCTCATACCTCTCACATGATGACTTCACAGAAAAAGACGGTATCGTTTTTCTCCGAGGAAGTTCAGAACAAAATGGCGAGAAGGGGAAGAAGTAATAATACCAATGGAGAAAGAGGTAAAGCGTTAGTGATAGATCCACTGGTGGTCGTAGATGATTTGGAAGATGATGGTGCTGATGATTTAGAGCTAGATGAGGAAGATTTCGATAAGCTTGCCGTCTGTTCATTAGCATTTTATGTAGTTATACTGGTCATACGGTAGTGCCTTCGTATGATTGATCGGGTGGATAAGGAGACCTCTAAGGGAGTGGCGCTAAACGAAGTGAGAGAGGAAGAAATATATTTGCCAAGTAGATTGAGTCAGATGAAGGAAGAAGAGAGAAAGAAAAAAGAAGGAAGAAAAAAGGATCCAAACTCACAGCTGACGGAAGACCAGAAGCAGCTCCGGCAGAAATCTCAGCAAGGACTGTGGAATTGAAAGTACCCTGCATGTTGGTGATTCTATCATCAGCATGATCCCTTTTTCTTGCACGACCCTATACTGTTTTGGTGATTGGCGGCTAGGACAAGACTCACTCAAATTGAGCAGAAAAGGCTTCATACTTGTATTTCGGATTCGAAGTATCAGCCAGATTGAGCGAAGTGAATCGGACAAAGTATACCGCGCCTGTCAGGTCAGTCAAGATCTTTCAACTGCGTATTTCATTGCGCATCTTTCATCTTATCCATTCATGGGTTTCACGTCTTTCAAACATCCCTGCCTCCAAAACATCGACCTTTGGACCGACATGATCACGAGGACTGGGAGGCATTTGGTATACTGGGAGTGGCGATAAATCACCTGAAGGGAGTCACGATGATAATGAAATAAGGTGGAAATGTGGGAAGGATAGGACTGATGGATATTGGTAGGTATCTAAATGAGACTCACCATCCGGTCCAATTTTGGGATCAATAGTGGTCGTTATGCTCGCCGTCCTGCTAACATCCACCGAAGCAGCAAGTTGCTGTAACCAGACTTGTTGGTTTACCGAACCGGTGTAGATATCGATGGCAGTTGCTCCGATGTCCTTGAGGAAGGGGGCAGTACCATCGTCGGCTGATCGTCAGCATACTCACGAGAGAAGGGGTTATGTAGATGATCATACAACATATAAATGAAGGCGAGTGAGAATCTTATCATAGTCTATGGGGTTGGATGATACCAAATGAGGACATGATGAAGGGTGGAATACTGATGAAGATAAAGAGTCAGAAGTATGTCACATCCGAGGACTGTGACTGGGAGCGGATCATAAGGACATGAGAGAACAGTCAGGTGACGCATTTCCCTGGTGAAAAGATATGACGATGTTTGTGTCGTATGTCGTAGATTAAAAACGCAGCTCACCCCAAGAAACATTCAAAGTTTGTCCACCTACTGCCTTGGTACTAGCTACAGGTCCCGTACAGTATATACCTGCCAACACGGGACGGAGCGAAAGAGCCAAAGCGGCGATGGTTATACCAAATTTCAACATTGTCGATATATATTTTATTTGTTTATTTGTTTATTTCTGAAATGCTTTCTGGGTCGTCTAGACAAAGTGAACAAGTAGTTGCAAACTGTTGTAGACCTGATGAATCGATCGAATGAGTCGTAGTGTCGTAAGAGATTGTCAAATCGCACGGGTTGAAAGAGACAAAGGGATTGGGATTGACGACCTGCGAGTTTCGTGGGTGGTCAAGATGAAAAGAGTGTAATTGTCGGGTTGACTTGTATGAGCTTCGAGCGTCGTCGGTGTTGAAAAGTCAATGTCGAGCGTCGAGCGTTGGATCTTAAAATGGTAGTGTCGAGAAGGAAGGGAGTGGGATACCAAGATGAGATTGAGGAGATTGAGAAAGATGGTAGTCGAGTTTGATAGAACGACGAGGGGGAGGAGGAGGAGGGAGAGGAGGGGAAAGAGGCAAGGGTCCGAGCGAAAGGGGTAATAGTCTCGTCAAACAATACTCAAAGGATCCTTTTCCCCCTTTGGGATGACGGTACAACGACTCACGGCTCACGGGCCACCGGGCGGGGGAGAGCCAAGCGCCGCATGGACACACAGGGGTAAACTTGGCATGACGAATGCTCAGATCTCTTCAAAATCAAGGAAAAGAGATGTCTGGTGAGGCATGTCATCTGATTGTTTGTTGCTTTCTGGCAGAGGAACACGTTCTGACCTTAATATGGGACATGTCATGATGATCGGACATGAGGAGAGTTGAAAGGGGAGAAACTTGTAAACAAAGAAGGGATCGTCCTGAAACACGGCGACACGTCGGGTGGTCCCGTGTGTGCTCAGCCCTGACAGCCGGCGTTGACCGCTAAGCAGTACACGCGCCTACTCCAATCTGAGCTTCTACTTTGTTAGTAGGCGCCCACATGACGTAACGTCATCGGAGCCCCAGCGTAGGGTCTACCCCTTAGTTTGACCTTTGACGTTTCAGATGTCTTCCCCTATTTGATTCTTCTCATTCCTTTTTCTTTTCTTTACCCTTTCTCTAGCCTCCTTACCATCTCTCTCCCCCCTTGAAGCGTTTCAAACACGCTGTGACACTTTGTTTTCCCTCCATCCTGAATCCCAAACAACTAAGAAACAAGAGACTAGAAACTAGAGACACTAGCGACGATCCTTAACCACACGCCACCGTTTCACCTCTTCACTTTGTCGGAATCCCAGCCAGTAATTATCCATCAAGTAGCCCCAGTACCTTGCTCATCCTCCTTTGGTTATCACCGCTCAGCTAGGGGTACGATAGATTCCAAGTTACAGACATCACACCCCGGTCGTCGGTCCTCTTCCACCGATCGTATCTTCCGTCTCTCGTCAAGCTTGTCAAAGATATAGACTTCTCGTCATGGCCGAACGATTTGGGAAATGTGATAATTTTGACCTGCTTGATACCTCATCCGGCGTAGCGTTCAATACTCTTCTCACGTCACGGATCGATGATCCAATCTTGCAGGTCACAGTTCACTCTCCAGTACAAAACTCCATACTTTCATCTGCCCAACAGTCTATCATCCCTCCTAGTCCAAACAATCGACTGCTCTCCATACAGATGCCTAATATCGGGTCTTCTATCCCTGCTCCAAACCCGCGATCGCAAATATTCGCCTCTCATACCTCATTACAAGATTTGACTCGGGAAGGTCTACCTAAAGTGCGCGACAAACCTACTAGTCCACCTAAAGCAGAAGAAGTAGCCTTTCGTCAGACACAACCCAGAGATAGACGACGTAATATCCCTCGTCCACTCGCTCTACAATCCAACACAGCTCCCAGTGCGCCATCATCTCTGCGGAATTGCTTTTTCGCCTCTGATACTCTGAGCACTCCGGGAACTCCAGGTACACCAATGGGTGAGATGTTTAAAGGTGAGAGGGGTCTCTTGGGACCTTCCAATCCATGGAAGGGGAAAAGAAGCGAAGGAAGAGTTTGGGGAATGTTACCTTTCCAAGTGATTCAGTAAGTCTTTCTGATCGAATCTTCCCCCGTCACACCTACACGTCACTGAATTATCATCTTCGCCATGAGGTCGCGTCAAATAGTGGGTACTTTATCAAGTGGAGGGCGATTTGCATCGAGGAAGGCAGCTGATACCGTAGTCGGATATTCGACTTTGCTTTAGAGCAAAATGTTAACTCCACACTCTCATACACTTGTCGATCTAAAGAAAGTCAAAATGTCGTCCTTGCCTCGCAGGGAAGGACACAGATGATCTCGTGGAGATCAGTCAACCATCGTTGGCAGACAGCTGGTTGGTGTCCTCCTCTTTACCAATCCTTCTGATTCGAACTCGACCTGTCATCGCAAAGTATCAAAGTGCTGACCCGTTTAGTCGATTACCATCCCTTCTGGCATCGGTATACAAGACTCATGAACCCCACTCGACACTACGCTCATGTATCCCCATTCCTTCGCGCTCGATCCACCATGAACACATGTCTGGCTTGTCGGATTCTCTACCCAACCTCTACACCAAGCACGACATCTCCCAAATCATCCTTCTATCACCCTTTTTTCAAGGATATCTCTCTTTGTGGCAAACATCAACAGTCCATATGTATGCACTGCTTCCTTCCCTCTCATTCAGATAACAGGGATATGTTCCTCCGTCCTCATCATCGAGACATGTCTGCCACCGATTCCATCTGTTCTTTACCTGAAGGACTCATCTGTTGGAGATGTAGATTCACATCTGTCGGATTACACATCCATCAAGAACTTTCCACAATCGCAAGGACGGGGCCCCTAAGGGGAACCACCATTGATTACTACCAACATCCCGCCGCGACAGTTTATATCCAATACGCGATGGGTACGGCCAAAGCGGTGGCCAAGCGGGTGGTCCTGGATCGATGGTTGATGGACCAGACTCGATGGACGGAATTGGAAGGGACTGTGAGACTTTTGCAACAACACGAAGTGTATCTATGGCGGCGGTATCAGGCGAACAAGCAAAGAGAGACCAAGGAAGAGGTCAAAAAGCGGCAGGACTTGTTAGCAGAGCTGTGGGGGATCGAAACGAATGCCCAGGATGATCAAAGGGAGAGAGAAATGGTGTACCGAGTGTTCGAATATTCCTCGGGGATTGGTCAGACGCCTCCGATGGTGAAGTCTGAATTTCTATCCGTACCGAGTTTCAGTAGGAAGGTGGGTTCACCGTTTTTCCCTCTGACTCTTGTTTCATAAATGGATTTAGTCTTTCGGTCATCTGAACATTCGCTCTGCTCAATTCTACCTCTCCCATCTCACTACCCTCAACTATCTCCGTGTGTCTCTGTCCTTTTTCCCTAGGCCTTCCGATACGGTAATACTGACCAGGAGCTGAGTAGGGAACAAGGTTGACATTCAGTACTCCAATCTCCTTTGCGAAGCCTCCCTTTCCGATTTCATCAACGATCGATTCAACTTTGGTTTCTGGCTTTCTCCCACTGCAGAAATCACCGAGCTCTTGCGTCCCTCTAATGATGCTACTTGCCTACAAAGCATCGTGGAGGGAGTACAACATCCGCTTGGTGAAGGAGGCGATACCACCGTCGAACTCGCTTATGCTCAACGGGCCGGACTTTTTTCACTTGTTCCAGGTAACAAATCCACTATTGCGACTGACCCTTTTTTACCACCTGCGAGTTTGGTAAACGCTCTGGAGAAGAGGTGGGAGACAAAATTGAGAGAAACACTTCGTCGACCTTTGTTAAGGTCTCTTCAATTAGATGGGAGGGTCAGAGATACTTGTTTGGCAAAAGAAGCATTGGACAGATTATCAGAAACGGAAGCATGGGTATCTTATCGAGATACAAATTTCTCTGTTCCCACAAGTTCAAAATTCCTTCAACTCGACACTCCACCAGAACCTTCAATCCTCTCCGACCTTTCTCAGTACACCGACATACATACGCCCGGTATTGAAAATGTCGAACCCCAATCCCATGAGCATGTTTCTGATCAACAAACGCCGGGAAAGATCGATAACAATATGTCAAGTCGGTCATTGATAGAGACTCCTCAGAGGTCAAACATTATCTCGAAAGCGGAGAATCAAAGTGAAAAGTCACAGAGGAATCGCACATTATCACCTTTGGATACAGGAACGAAAGATTGGCTTCCTACACCACCAGGATCGACCTCACCGCCGTACACTTCGAGGTTCATAGACCAATTAGTCTTTCCCCGCGATCCTCGAGTGGAGTGTGTAGAGAAAAGAGATAATGAGGAAAGACCACTCACGCCTATTTCACCAGAGATGGAAATGTCAAGGAAGAGAAAGTTGTCTGAAGATCCAGAGTTGGAACATCCCAATAAGAAGGTATTTCTGGAGAACCAAACGGAACCGCTCAGTACTGCAGGATCCCAAGATCCGCCCATCACATCACATGACCAATCCATGGTCTGTGCATCCGTTGATGCAATGGAGGAGGGGAAGGATTCGTCCCAGGTAAACTATTCAAAGTTTGATCAAGATTCGTCCGGCTCAACAAAGGATGAAACCCCTTCCACTTTCATTCCCATCGCCAACAGTGCAGTTCAGAACATGACCAACCAAGATATCACAATGAACGATAACACTATGGGTCAAACACAAAATACAGATTCCGTTATTTCCCTATTAGACTATTCTGATCTTTGGGAAGATGAGGAGGACAATGGTGATGATATAGGAATCGTACCTCATGTACCTCATCCTTCCGCCGAATTGGACCTGAGGACAGCACAAATATTAGCGGATTTGATGGAAGAAGTAAGGAAAGATATCCCGCCTCCGAAATCTGATTGTGAATGTGGAATGTGTGAGAGAGTGTATCAAAGAGTTTTGTCAGATTGGTGGCAGAGACGGTGAGATGTAGAACGGGTTTAGGACATGACTGGGTGAATGAGATAGAGGGAGATGGTTTAGCGGCAAAACGTGAGATGATTGATAAGTCCTCCATGATCCATGACAAGTTGGTGAATTAGCGGGTGACACGTAGGTGGAGTGAGGTGGAGGATGGGTCAGTAAGCACTTCTGAGACCTGAATGTTGGAGAGGGCGGGCGTCCCAGGGCGGAAAGTACAGATGGTGTATGAGGTCGAGTAATTCGACAGGTCGGTTTTGATATAAGAAGAGAAGACGAGATGATCATCCAATGAGAATATCAGGAGTTTTGGGAAGAATGAAAGTGACAGAGGTCTTGGAAAATCGATATCATTTGGGTATGGAGGATACCGGTACAATGCATTGTGTGCTAATGAGTGAGTTTGAGTTACACTGATGAAGTCTTGTCTGGGGCAAGACGATGACCAGACCTGTGATATACACGATTGAGAAATAGAACGGAAAAGAGATGATGACATTCATATTCCCTACGAATAATATTGAACTTCCAAACCTAAAGACCTTATCGGTCTTTGTCTACTAGTAAAATCGCTCACAGCTCCGATTGAAACCAAACAATTCTTTATTCGAGCTTCATACAATACAGCCAAAGACTGAATTGTCAACTTTTACAACTCATTCACAATCTTTTTCACATTAAGGAGAAAAAAAAGAAGAAAAAGAAAAGAAAACTCACTCCTGTACCTGATATCCTAGCTCTTAAAACTCCATCTCTATCTTCCGTCTCCATCTTATTTTTCTCATGTATCGTATTACCAACCCGGTTCTGAGAAATATCTTTGATATGACCATCAAACTTCTCATTCTCATCATTCGGACGAAGGTTGACATTATCTTGAACCAATGGTGGTTCAAGTTGATTTGTTAATTCGGATAAATGTTTTTTTCCCCTTCTTCTCCCAATCCACCATTCACCACCTATTGATAAATCACTTTCATAAGAATAAACGTTGACTCCAAATCGAGAAGATACTGCTACGGTAGGTGATATTTGTGCGGAATAAGCGGATGATATGAATCCTATCAATGGGTTGTAAAGTAGTGTTAAAGTCGTTGGTGGACTAGGTGGAGGAGAATGTAATGGGATTGGTAAAATAGGTGGAATGGTAGTGAATCTTACACCGGTAGATACTATTTGATCAGTCCTGCTTTTTATTTGGAAGGATTGATGGTTTGAGACCAGATGGAAGAGATGGATCAGGGGGAGGGAGACAGGAATCAAGCGGTGATTCATATACAATGGGATACGAAATCAAGTGGGGACGAAGAACTATCCAGCAAAAATCGAGCTTGAATAACCATCGTGATATCGAAAAAAGATTTCGAAGTTTATTGTAATCAGGGATTTGAAAGATTTCTCATTTCCATATCAAGAGTCAGAAACAGGTGATAAATAAGACTCACTACCGAAACTTCTTTGTTTTGCAGAAAAATAAACTTCTCCACCAGCTGAAAACCTTCCTCTCAAACCACCTTCCATCATTTCTTCTTCATCTATCCTTTTATCCTTTTCCTTAGATCTTTCCTCTTCATCTTCACCATCACCTTTCCAACCGAAATTATATAAACCTCTTAATCCGAACATTCCATCTTGAGCCGAATATGTGTATTCCCCACTATATCTACCTGTATCATGTTGTAAGCTCAATAGAACGTTTCCAGGAGGAGCAGGAACAGGATTGGAAACTTCGCTAGGTTGACGAGATTGAGAATGAGAATAAGGATTGTTAGGTGATGTTGGTCGAGTGGTTCGAGGTTGAGGTTGAGATAAAAAAGCTAAATGAGCTTGAAGAGTAGGAGTTAGACGTGTGACTGCTAGACCTGATAAATGTAGAGTTGGAAGATGAAGACGTGAATATAGTAGATAATCTGATATTATCAGTTTGAAGAGATGTTGAGATAGAAAAGAGTTTTACCTCTTCCTTCGATACGACGACCACCTAACCAAATTTCATCTTTTGGTAATGGTTTTTTCGGAGGGGGATAAATTCGAAAACGCTCGACAACATCGCGGAAGGGTACACTTTTTGACGGACCGATCTGTGATCAATACCATTACACAACTTGACAGATTTCGATATGTTCATCTCGATGAGACAAAGTTTTTTTCCACAGGGGAGAAGACTTCGGGTTAAGAGGGAGGTCTTATATGTGGTAGTAAGATAGAGAGAATAGATGATGACATAATGGTTCACTCACACCTTGTATAGCCTCAGAAGTTGTGATATACGATATCGCCCCATTCAATTGAGGAAGAGCATCGAGAGAATAACTAGTGAAAAAGATAGGCGTAGGGTTGTTGGCAAGTTGAAGTACCAAACTTTGAGGGATCTGAAAATCTCTTTTGTCTATCAGTCCTAACGTCCTTTCGAGTTTATACAATCACGTACAATAGAGCTTACATGTCAGCTTGACATTCCAACCTTCCATCTTCACCCATGGTTGACCCCTCGGTGTTAGCTTTCGTGTATGAACGCAGGTGTGTGGATTCTAACGTCACACAAGACACCCTAACAGAAACGAATGTATGATGTGGTATGATGGAAAACGGAAGAGACAAAGGTAGACTCCATGTGAGGGAGTGAGGACGGAATGAATGAATGAGAGTATCAAATTGAAGGGAGGAGGATCTTGACAAATGACCCACCGGCTGAAGACCGAGTCAAATTGGAATAAGTATTATCTTGATTCCATCCTATAGCTTGATAATAGCTCCTGAGGAGCAGAGTCGAAAAGGGTATCATAAGGCATCAAGCGATAACGTCGTCATTAACGATAGCATCAATAGCACAGACAGCACGGATGGATGGATTGGTGGACAGACGGGTGGAAGGGAAGCTGATTTGTGGCATGTGGCACTTTTCCAAATTCCTACAAATCTCCAACTCAAAGTGGTACATACATACATTATTGTAGAAATACAGTCCACAGAGACAGTCACATACATACTTGAATCAAGAAATTACAGAGAAGCCACAAGGTCATATTATCTACTCAAAATTCCAAATAACAGGGAAAGTCCCAAAAATCAAATATCCACCCAGCGTCGTGAATAACGTGGTGCTCATCTCGATATCATCGGTTGACGGACATAAAAATGTCGTACATTCATTTACCACTTGAGCCGTAGCCGTGAAATTGTTATTGGTGTTGGTAATGACCACCCTAACCATAAGCTCAATTAAAAGTCTGTTAAGACCCATACACATGAGAGTGGTACAGGGACAAATTAGGTTGACGCGAAGTCACGGAAGACACGAAGATGGCCTCAAGAGATGAGAGGTCAAGTATCACGGGTGGAGTAGGGAAGAAGATGGAGCTTACGTTCGACCACAAAAATCGTCTTCCGGGAAGAGTTGAGGACTGAGTCCAACCACCAAATCCTGGTTGGTATTCGTGTATCCACACGTTCCAGGGGTACCGCTGGGGATTCCAGGTGTCCCCCCCGGCAGGTACCATACCCCTCTCCCCGTATGTGTTGCGCGTTCCATGATGGTCTTAGTGGGTGCCGCCCAGGCAGTTGTGACCAGCATGATAAAGATGATTTGTGTGCTGATCATGGTTTGTGGACGTGTGAAAGAAGTGTGGTGCGGAGTACTCGTACTTGGATAACGAATGAGTTGATCAACTCTACTTTGGACAGCAACACTAGTTTCCCGGAGGTCTATATGTATCCTTCTTGAGGATCGTTCTTTCAATGGAAGCTTCGAGCTGGAGACCCCTTTTGGCACTGATTTTGTAGCGCGCGGTATCCGCAAAATATCCCTTTTTCTTACCATCCCCGGACCCCGCTTTCATGAGATGACATCAGACATCAGGCCGAAGTACGTATACTACAATCCGGCCAGGTAGGGATTACATAATAACAGGGAATGCATCACGGTATTTGCTTAAGTGTGAGAAGATTGATTGGATACATGCTGTTTAAAGTTGTGATTGATCAGCCGGCGCCCAGAGGAAGGAAGATCAGGCGGGTAGACATCAATGAGGGAGGAAATGAGGGAAGAACTAGTGAACGTCCACAATCATTGTGAATTTGTGGTAGAATGAATTGAGGGAGTCTCGAAATCGCTCTCCTTTGGAGGGAGCTTACGTGGACAGTTGGGAGTCCACCACTTGGTCCTCGAAAGAACATATCTCTGATGCGGAATGGAAGGGAAAGAGAAGGTGAGGATACGAGTGTGGTACCGCATGAAGATACCGGTGACAAATGCTGTGGACAGAACGTGGATACCATAGCAGTCAAGAGATTCTCTATACAGTTGTAGTCACTGAGCTCATCTTCTAGGATCTCTTCCCGGTTGAGAGCCATTGGAGGAAGGCGTGATTGAGGGGTCAAGTATCAGCGTAAGTTTCCTCATAGAAGAACTTTGAGTAACCTCTATAGAGCGGAAAGAAAGTCATCATGACGATCTTCTCCTTCAAAGACTTTGATTTTGAGACTATGTCATGACTCAAAAATACAGAAGTACATAACTTGATGATCTAGCGGGCATCAGTAAATACACTGACAGGTATACGGAATATGGGTATGGTGTGGGGACTGATTGTACAGGTACAGTATAGTCTCAATAACTCTACGTGTAAAACACTTTAAGATTGGAAGTGCCAAGTGATATTGAACACCCCAGCATCCAAATCTCCATCATTCAACTTGGAGAACAAAGCTGGCGACATGTCAAGGGAACCTTGGGAGCAACCGGGACATTCATCAACGAGTTTTGCAGTTGCCACGTTGCCCTTCTTTACATTGGTAATTTCCACTCTGATCATCAGCTTCATGTCCCCTTCATCACATCAATACACTGTGTACAGGTTTGTATGAAAGGCCACAAGCGCAAGTTGCTTCAAGTAATTTCGGGTGAAATGTACCATGATTTCGGATCTTGAGACGACAGTATATAGCTCATCCAAATGTGGTGATGGACTTGATGATGAACGTCAGGAGAAGAGGAAGCTCACATTCTTCCACAATCGGCCCCATGGTTTGGTTTGAAGAGGAGTTCACTCTGAGCAACGATCATATCATCATCTCCATTGGTCCACCCGCAAGCTCCGAGACCAGGATAAAAGTAAGTTGCTTGACCTGAGTACTTCCCTTGACTCTTGTTGTCATTGGTAGGTATAGCCCATGCCATTGTGAACATAATGAACGTCAAACATGTCAATTTGAGCATCTTGTGAAAAACCTTCAAGTTGATATTATGACTGACGGGATCTGTCTTCAGGACGTCTAATCCATCGTTCTTCTCTTTGAGGTCATTTATACCTCTTCCAAAAGTTAGGAATAAGAGGATGATACGTGCGTGATACATGGGAAACCCCTAGAGAATGTGTTGGTCTAGACTTTACCAACCGCTCCGTTCTGTTTTAAGTGTATGGATCCTGAGAATCAGGAGACTTCAAGGAGACCGTTTCGGAGGACCTGTCAGGAAAGTATGACGCACGGAGTTTCCGAGAAAGGAGGTATGAAACTAACCTGTAGTTTCTCCTCGGCTCGTCAGCCTAACATATCGTTTTGTTTTGACAGGTACCAAAATAGAGAGCGCTCAAGAGATTCATAAATACACAGTACGTACAGAGTACAGACGTGATAATTGGTGAATTGATGATTCAACTAGTGTGACGACGAGTAGGGAACGGTCCAGACACGGAGACTGATGTGGCCACTTTTTCAGGCAAGAAATGCCAATGAATGGGTAGTTTATCCTCCTTTGGATTCCCATTGTTCAAGTACAATAATAGAGATGGTGAAAGGGCTAAACCATCGTTACCACAAAAACATCTATCCACAACCGTTGCAACCGCTTGTCTTCCATTTTCACTGTTGGTGATTGAGACCCTGTCGTGTCAGCTTCGAGCTTCGTGCACGCTATGACGATTCTAACCCCTTGACCCGCTCGATCTCGGAAACGGCCTCACACACTCAAGAGGTACACATATACTTGACAACCTGAGGAAATCCGAGAAGAGACAAGTGTTCCGTGACACAGTATATGGTCTAGTGGGACTTACACCTGGTCACAATTACCCCCATGATCTTCATCAAACTTAGCAGCATTGAGAGCTACCACAAAGTCACCGGGTCCATTGAGCCCTCCACAAGCCCCAAATCCGGGATTGTACTCTATTGCTTCTCCATAATGTTCAACCCGCTTCTCCATGTTGACAACCGGGGTTGCCAATGCCGATGTCGAGAGGGAGAGGAGGTAGAAGAAGGATTTGAACATCTTGTTACGTTTGTGCTTGCGGAATGAGAAAGTTGAGCCGTAAGTAGATGAGATTTATTGTGTACCTGACTATTTAAGATCTTCTTACCTTCTTGGCCCCTTATATCACACTCCTCCATCGAACTACCTTTTGACAGTATGTCGTGTGTCGGTTGGGGAATTACCCGACAGTCGTGCGCCCCGACACCATGCGGATCGAGTAGCGTGTGACAAGTTAAGTCATGCGGTACCTCGGTCATCTGCATCTTGTTCATCACTGATGACGGGCCCTAAGATCTCGCCTTACATGAGAAGAGATGACATACTTCAGATAGTGCGGACGAAGGAGGAGGGTTGATCTTCCTGTCTTGGTCGGGAAACCAACCGTGGTGTTCCTGGAATCTACGATCTACGACCGTTGGCTCGGGCAGGAATTCCCTAAAGTCTGATGATTGGGTATTCTTACCAAAAGGAGTACGATGACCACACGAAAACGTGTGCTGAAGACGATCTGTCATTTCGATACCTGACTGATCGGGCATGAGATATCATACGTAGTCATGCCATTAGGGCGCAGTGAAAGGGGTTCGATGTGAAAGTACGTGTCATATCAGTTATTGTTCCGCTTTCTTTTTGTTCTCTGACCGGGCCATGATCCTCGACGTGTAGCATACGTGACAGCTCGGCTAGGATCTCCGCTACATCCTCTGGTCAGTGAAAGGGGGTGGGTATTATTGGGGAGTTCTCTCGATTTCCTTCTTTCCGAACACACCTCCACGCGAACCCCGTTCCGGCCGTAAGACAAGAAGACAAACAACCCGCTTGTCTGATCGTTCGGTACGATGATCCGGGTGTGAGCAGGGATCCAAGAAGGCCTGCGGAAAGAGAAGGAAGCAATCACACCTCATCGTGTCCGAAGCTTGAAGCATGTAGGGTGAGACTTGAGGGATGTGAGGAATTTACAGACACGTTACGCATGGATATGTATGTCAGATTTTTGGCTTGCTTCGGCGCACGGACTTAGACCAGACCGCATATATCCTCACTCTCTTCAGGCCGATTTTGATTTGAAGCACTTACATGCAGAATGCTTGATAACAGAAACAACTTGGAATGTACGTAGCCTTCAATTCTACTAAACCTAAAGAGGATAGTATGTGGATCATGTTGGAGGGATCACTATTTAGGCAGAAAGCTCCAATCAATCTCCAGCGTTCCATCTCCAATCCGACCATCATTTATCGCCTCGAACGCTGGTGGTGAGATGTCCAATCCGTCCAAAGCGCAGGTCTGGCACTCGTCAACTGTCGTGGCTACAACAGTCTTTCCATTGGCAACGTTGGTGATCCGTACTCTGTTCATCAATACTAGTGGTCTACTACCTTGACCCAATTTCCTATCCCCTTCCCTCCACGCCAAGTCACAAGTATGACAATATCTCTTTGAGAATTTAACAGAGAAAACTTGTTCTTCTTCCTTTTCCGAGTGTGAATGATCCTAGGGGACGGTGAGATCGAGATACTGTAGGACTTACTTCTGCCCACAATTCCCGCCCCTATCCTCAATGAACTTTGACGCATAGATTCCAACGACGTAATCCTTTGGTCCATTTTGATATCCACAAGCTCCTAATCCTGGAATGTAAAACCTTCCTATTCCTCTATGAATGATCCTTTTCTCCAGTTCCATTGTGGTAGGTATAGCCCATACTGAGGAGAATAGTAGAATGAGAAGATATATTGGTTTAAACATAGTTTGTCAAGATGTGAGTGGATGTGATCGAGTTTAAGTGATTGAGGACAGGTATGGGGTGGAGGATTCGATGAAGGGGGTTTTATACGTTTCCTAATAAGGAAAAAGCGGTGTGAGATTTTGTCCTCCGATCGATGACAATCTCAGAGTCAGAAATCGATCTCCAAACACGGACCCCCGGAGGAAAGAAGAACGTCGCGGATCTGGAGATGAATCCCTTTCCCCTTAAGAAGTGTGGGAATCCCGCTCAAACGGTCCGTCTCAAGAAGTTCGTGCCGTTGTTTTCCCGCAGTATGCTGCTTCTGGTGCTTCTGAGTGATAATGATGTTTCAAAGAATGCATCCGATGATTCAATTAGCAGAACATAACCAGGAAGGCTTCGCCTTTAAATGTGTCTCATTCCACGGATTACCCAGGTAAGGTAACCCATGAAACTGGAAGTCTCCCAGATCCAACTTGTTGACTACCCTCCTGTAATGCGAAAAATACTGCTGGGGATAACCCCAGACCATTTGTACTACAAGTTTGGCACTCATCCGCTATGATAGCCATGACTACTGCCCCATTCTGCCTATTGGTGATTTTCACCCTGAAAATCAGTATGATTTTCTTCTTTTCTCATCCTTTTCATCGTGATCCGGGAGAAACACCTACATGTTCAGGACACACGAGTGAATGAGAGACGTATTCAAACATAACAACCATGCAAGGGAAGCCAGAGGAATTACTTTTCACCACAATTCTTTCCCTTATAATCAATGAAGGCAGATGGGTATAAAGCCACCACTAAATCATTCACAGTGTTTGTGAAACCACAAGCTCCTGTTCCTGGTATGTATAGAGTTCCCTCGACGATATGAGTAACACGAGCTCGCTTTTCGATTTCGGTAGGTACAGCTGATACGGAGAGTAAGATTAAATACCAAAGTAGAAGTGTTTTGAACATGGTGTGGTGGAATGTGAGATTGTTTCTGTGGACCAGAACGGGTCTGTTAGTAGTCATATGTGGGTAACTAGGTCTTTATAGAGTTATTGAGGACTTTGATCACCCGTCTTCGAGCTCAGTCTCTCGATCGATTCGAGTCTTTTTAAGGAGAGATAGATCATCAAGCATGAAGATCCTGGAAGCGAACGACGCCGATCTGTAATTCCGTGTGACTCTGAAGGTGCACGTAGGTCTGCTCTCGAACTTGGAAGCTTCAATCCCAAGAAGTGCACCGGAACGATTATTTCTTCACGTCATTGAACCTACTTGATGTGTGAACGGGATGAAAACAACTCGGTGGAATCTCTCTGCATCCTGAAACCTGAATTACACAGGTTACAACCTCATCCAAGAGATAGGAACTCTACCAGATCCCACCTGCGTATTCCCCTTCTGCAATGCGAAAAACACCGCAGGCGATAGATCCAGGTCGTTGGTACTGCATTTGAGACATTCGTCCACGATAGTAGCTATGGCAGTTGCGCCATTTTGAGGGTTCTTGATTGTTACCCTGAACGTCAATTCAACACTTTCCTGATATCCACCACATGTATTTCCCTCCTGGTGAATAGATTAACTGTGTCGGGTATCCATGGTGTTGAGACATAAAGGGAATATAAGGGGTGGGAAAAGAGTGTACAGAGAATAACTCACTGTGTACCACAAAGCTTTCCATTATTATCGATGAACGCAGCTGGATAGATAGACACCACAAACTCATTTACATTGTTGGTGAGCCCGCAAGCACCAGGACCTGGTATATATAGTGTTCCTTGACCGTTGTGAATAGGATTTGCGTAAGTTGTCGTAATGAGGAATAGGAAAGTGAGAAGAGTTTTGAACATGATGAGTTTGAGACGAGTAGTGAGATGTGATTTGATATGTGGTAGGGTTTGTTATCGCGAGATGAAGTGACAGGATGAGTGCTTGACTCTGATTTGTAACTTTCCACTTAGGGTGATGGTGGGTATCGGTCGGTCCGGAGAACAGAGGTAAAAGTCGATCCGACTAGAAGGGCCGCAGATCTAGGGCGACCGTTAACGAATGGTACGAAAAACGATTCAAATAGATTAAAGGGACGAGCGAGGTCCATCTGTTCCTGATTGATAAGTCTACGATCTACGAGGATCCGAGACGTGAGAGATATGTACAGTACGAGAATTGATCGACTCCGACGCTCAGAATATAACGGATCAGTGCTAATGGCCGGCCGAGAGGGATCCCGGCAGGACAAGAATCTTCGTAAGACTCAGAAGGGTATGTCATCTTGGTCCCAGACTTGTGGATCATCTATTTAGTATAACTTACCTGAAGATCTAGATTATAGGCACGAAAGTTAGTGTATTCCCAATGCGGATGGATCGGTCTCAAGATAAAATGTCAAAACGAGTGGTAGGTTTTCATATTCTAATACGTACTTTCATCATTGACCTTGACCAAGATATCATCTCTATACTACACTGTGTGTTTTTGTGTCATTCGTATGTTCACCAAAAACATAAGAGATGTCAGAGTATTCCAATTCGAAAAGTCGAGTTGATTAACCGGTCCACCACCAATTCATGTTGAAAACCCCTTCGTCGTAGTTGTCGTTAGAAAGAGCTCCGAAGAGGCTTGGCGACTGGAAATCAGTGAAGATCTTTTGTATTTTATGTCGATCGGGGTGGATCATGTAGTTCCCCCACTTTTTCTCTTATTTGACGTACGCCCCCTCGGGCTTATCCAGATTGAGTGAGTAGATACACGGATGTCGGCTGAGGACTGCAGGCCGACGGCCGCCGGGAGGAAGAAACGAAAAAGTGGCGTGGCGAGAATGAAGATCACGATTGGCGGTATGGATAAGAAAAGTAAAGACGGAAGACGAAATAACAAGAGTAACTGACAAGATCTAATTCACCCCAACCGCAACTTGGACATTCATCGGCCACATAACCATATTGGATGTTTTGCGTTTCAGGGTTCCAAATTCCCAACCATTTACCGCAATGTTCTCCGTTATTGAACTGCGCAGAGTTGAGAGCGATGATATGATCATCGTTACTATTCCACCTGTCTGTCAGTCCGCGGCCAAAATGTTTCTCGTAACTAAATTGAGCAGATACCGGTGACTCTTCAAATATCGCAGTTCTCGACATCGAAACACCAGTCACCCTCCGAGTATGAGAATGCAAGGAGGAAGGAGGCTTCCCCTTACCAGAGCGGGAGTAAGGGGAGGAAGGAGGCCCATTCGCTCATCAACGGCGGATCTAGAAGTGTGCTATTGGGTCCAGATCGATAGCCTAGGGAAGAAAGGGAAGAGAAATAGAACAAGCTGGAAATAGAAGTCCAGAGACGACTTACCATCCACAAGCTCCAAGACCAGCTTCGAAATACGTAGCACGTACATTCTCCGCCGTATTTTCACGTTTCATCAACATCTCATCGTTGACTGGTCTGTTAAGTGGTTGAGGTTCCGGTCGAGGATTAGGAGCAGCCATCGCTGAGGCAAGGACGAACAAAACGATTGATTTGAACATTTTTACTTTGAGTATTTACAATTTCTTCTTTGATAATCCGAATGATCTTCTTGGTCTTCGAAGTGTGTTGTGTTGTGAGTTGAGAATGGAATTTGAACATGTCGACTTCTTATATCTTTTCTTCAAGATGAGATGAAAGCCCTCGAAAAAAAAACCATGATGATTCTCCGCTTGGGCTGGAGAGGTATATCACGCATGAGAAGAGAGATGTGGAGTATTTTTTTGTGATTAGAGGCCCCGCATAATCACAAGGTTGACAAAATACATTTTCTGAAGCCTGGACCTTTCAAGTGACCTCGAAATGATTTTGGGTCACCATGTCCGCTCAAAGCCAAGAGGGAGGAGGGGGGGGGGGATGACGTCGATCGTAATGGGTTTTCCGCGGCTCGGAAATACGTTGAAAGTTGACATGAGAGGAATAGGGTAGTCATGTTTTGGTGGACCATGAACGTCTCTGTCATCCTGTGAACGAGGGAAAGTGTGCAGGAGAGGAGAGAGGAGAGAAAAGTCGATACTTGTGACCCCAGAAAAAGGTAGTAAAATTGATCAGGAACGGGGTTGTGGATGTAACCCTGAAAGAAAGAAATCATACCGAAATTCTGGCCCGTTTTTCAATACGAACACATGATCATGAACACATGTCTTCCGCAGGCCGCAGACTGACGCATAGTAAGCATAGTAAGATTGTTTGTACCACTCCAGCAGAGGCATGATGTGGGTGACATGTTCGCTTGGGAGAAAATAGGTGCTTACGTACTCAATTTGTCGGTGATCATTCTCGAGTGATACTTACTTTGCTGTCGGATGATCCGAGATCCGAAATCCGGCTGTACCGAGAAAGTAAATTATGGCGTCTTCCAGGAGGAACGAGGGAAGAGGTTGATACCACTATTGACCCAAATCAAAGTCTGAAACATGTCGAAAAGAGTTTGGGGTTGTACAAAAGTATCCAACTGCAGTATTCACCAATGACGATCAAAGGTACTACTAACAACCTCACAACGGTCAGTACCCCTCCGAAAAAGTAGGAACATCGCCATCGGCATACATCAACAAAATCACTATAAACAAATCGAACCAATAATACTATTGCCCACTACATAAGTGAGAAGGAAAGTCGGATCAAGCACCGCTCTTCAGATCACCCGCGATCGAGATCAAGCTCTGCAAAGTTGAGATAAGCGTATTCCAAGCCTCTTCCCTTCCCGGATCTCTGTGCGTCACATCGCCGTCAGTCGGAGGTGGAGCAGTCGTTTCCGCTCCGTCCTCCACCGTAGGTTGACGTGCACTACGCCTGGAATCGCGTTCAGCACTGGAGGCAGGAGTAGTTGGAGCTGTCGTGAATGCTTGAGTAGCGGTTGGATCGGAAGGTATCGGATCGTTTGTTTTTGCCGTTGTCGATCCTTCATGATGACGGCTACGAGTCTTTTGATGTTTGTTTTTGGTACTTTTAGGAAGAACAGTACCTTTATCCGGCACATCATCATCTGATGGGTCTGTTAAGTAGTCTTCTAGACCTTGAACGATCGCTTGACTAGTCTGGGGATATTCCGAAGCTATCGAACGTACGAGACCACTGACGAAGCTGAAAACACTAGGGATGCGGCTTGCAAGTATATTATCCAACAATCTATTATTGACCGTCATTCTACCAGATGTCTCCGGAGGGACACGAGTAGTGTTTGATTCCACCGCAGCGCTGGATTGATCTTTGAAATGGGCTCGTTTTCCTGTAGTGGACGGTCTCTTGGCCTCGTTGGCACGAGGGCAGGCGGTAGTGGTCATGGCTTCTGTGGTAGGAGATTGAGTCTTAGCGGTCGTAGCTTCGGTCGTAGGGGATCGAGTCTTAGCTGTTTGGGCTTCCGTAGCAGGAATACCAGTGTTAGGCGTGACGGTCTCATGTGTTTCTGTAGGAGGTTCGGTCTGACCAACTTCAGACCCAGCTCCATGACGAGCACGATTGGGTGCCGCCGTGATCGTCGTTCCCGAGGTGGAAGGTAGATGATGATTCCTACTTTGAGAGTTTCTGCTTGCGTGACGATTATTATCATTACGCCACCTGGTAGTAAACGTGGCAAGATCTTCGACTAGACTTGTGAATGTATCTCCGACATTATTAAGCGTACGACCTGGTCCCAGGTCTAATCGATATGTAGTGTTTCCGTCTTCCGTCATGGAGACGGTCACACTCGCCTTGAGGGGTGATTCACTGGTTGAGGGTGCCATTGTTCTTTATATGTGTGTGTGTGTGTGTGTGTGTGTGTGTGTGTGTGTGAGTGATGGGTTTTGTAGTTCAGTTAAATGAGAGGAAGGGCGGTGCTTGGTATCTAAGCAAAGTCGTAAAAATGGAGATGATCTTGGTGTTGTGAAGTGAGATTTGAAGTTGGTAGAGATGAGAGATACGGGTGGTGATTTGAAGAAATGTTCTTTGTTATGAAATTGAGAAGATGAGCCGGGGTTAAGTAGTTTACTTGAAGACCGTTTGAAAATTCGTGACGTATGATAGTGGAATATCTAGATGATTCCATGATATAATGGAGAGTGGAAGTGACACGTTTCATATCTGATAGTCAGCGTGTCATCGTGGGCGGTGTCCAACTGACCATAAAGGAACATTACACAAGATGTTAGAAATGACAGAAGGCACGGGTCAATGTAACAATGGATAACAGAGGATGCGACGTGTTATACAGGTGGTAATGGTCGGACATTGTTTCTGCCTCTTAGGGGGTTATTGGCGAGATGTCAGATCGCATAAAGGTAGGGCGAGTTGTCATTGTACGGATCGATAAAACAAAGGTGGGTACCAACGGCGGTTTCATGAATCATGATTGACATAGCTTCTGGCACCGACAGTAATGACTTGAAAGTCAGAGACAATGTTCAAATGTAGTAAGTGGGTACGATGGCGAGCACAACTCTCAAGTGCATAATCCTGTCCCCTCTATAAGCATCGTCTAGAACACCGTCAGCATCTAGCGAATCAGTATGTACGTCTACTAATCTATCATTCAGTTAGTCAGTCATCACCTAAACCAACATAACTCGAATCTCTCTTCAAACTCAACTCCTTACTCCTCCTTCGTCTTCTGACCCCATTATCATTTCCCCCATTAGCAAGCATCTTCATGGGACCGTATCCCGGTCGAGGACCATACCATGCAGCTACCACACAACTGCCCCACCATTCCTTCTCCAATCGATTCACCTCATCTTCATCCGGGCCATCCCAACTGTTCTGTCCCTCGTGGGGATACAAGTCTGAAGCACGATGAAGAAAGTTATGTAAAGACCTCATATGTATAGGAGAGTGATTCCTATCGATAGAATACGCTCGGAGGACAGAGTCGATGGTTGTCAGTAACCGATCCAATCGCTCCAGTGCAGAGAGGTGTGGAGTATCTGGGGGCGAGGCGGATGGAGAAGGAACACTAGGAATACGAGTTCCATCGAAGGCGAGAGGACTAGTAGGACTACTACGACGTAGTGGAGTCAATGGACCACCGACTTTGTCCGTGCCGACGATACGAGGAGTGAGATCGAGGGTGACTTGTCGGAGAGGTCGTCCACGTCTGTCTTGCAGACCGCCAGTGTGAGGCATTCGACCTTGCGTCGTCGTCTGCGCTTGCATGGTGAATCGCAAGTATAGATAGGTGGCGAGAATAGACTTCTGAGCACTAGGATTGATCAGCCCCTCATATTGGGTAGCAATCGTATGATTGTTGGTGGCGTTGCAAGGGATGAGTGGATTGAATATGACTCACTCTACTGCTTTAAGTAGTCAAGACGGTTGGGATTCAGTGGTTGAACCAAAGCAACGTCATGCTACCCCTTCACTCCACACGAAACGCCTGGGTTCTTATAGCCTTTCAGACGATCGCCACTCTACACCGCCACAGGATAAAACAAAGGGTAGTTTTCGCCGAAGATGGAAGGCCATTGGCCAGACCGGGCAACTTGGCTCGCCAGTGGAGCGTTTCGCATGATGCGTGGGAAGGACTCCGCGAGATGCGAGAAGCTGGTGGCGAGGCCATTTCGAATTAGTGACAAGGGAGCCAAGATAGGAGATAACGCCAATCAGGGATGGCGAAATAGTACGTGTGGCTCGGATGACTTCGAGGCGAGCGGAGAGGAAGGAGTTGAAAGGTCGAGTCGTGAAAGGAGATGTATTTGGGTGGTGATTATTCAATGACGGGCTGGTGGCTGTACAATATAAGACGAGCGGGATGAGAAGACATCGACCGGGAGCCCGAAATAACCCGAAGTGGATTGATAGGAGAGGATCGCTCGAAGACTTGGAAGGCGTAGTTTGAATGATGCAAACACGTCACACCAAACGGTCGTCTTCATTTTGCTTGATATGCGTCATGGCGGCTTCGCTGCATTTCCATAGATCCTTCATAAGTTGACCACAGCGTTTCTCAATGTCGGTCTGGGACGCCTTCGCGTGTGCGTCAAGACATGCGCGATATGCTTGTATGTTGGGAGCACAGGCGGTCTTCAACTGGGCCAGATGAGGAACGCTGGAAGGTCAATGATGATCTCACGTCATGAATGAAGACGGCCTCATACCTCGCATCAGCACATAGTGTCAGTGCTTGTCCTTCCGGACGACAAATCGATCCCCAGTCACCAGCCTGATTCGTGAGAACACACTGACCGTCAGCTCGTGAATGGAAGGGAGAACGAATAATTCGCCTGCTGATACCTCGCCATCTGCTCAGCACATTCTGTCCAGATCAGCTTCCCTCTATTTTGTAGATATTGTGCAGCTCACTCGAAGCTACCAAGTCGTATGAAAGGTCCATCGTATGAGCGACTTGTTGAGGTCAGAAAGTGAGAGAGTGGGAGAGGATGCAGTCTAGGAGGGAAATGCTATGACGTGTCATTTCGGAGAAAGCTTTATCACACTCAATCAGGACGTGACTGCTTTCTTTTCAACCGATCTTTCCACCCAAACACTGCTCCACTGTATATCTTGCCCCTTGCGTTCATTTCACCCATTCCGTAACAGCTGCATGCTGCACACAGGCACTGTTTTTGACAATCAAATGACTTCTATAACTCCTCATCAACATCCACCCAGAACTTCTTCTCGACAAAGAGGGGCCACTTCGACCATGTTCGCTCGGTCCCCACCTTTGACAACTTCATTCAACCCCAACATTTCTTTTGAACCTATCTCCCCTCAGACAGAAGTCAAGATGAAAGTCAAGGCGTCTTTGACTTCCGAAGCGAGAATCCGTCCAACTCCCAGCAAACCCACCATGAAACTCCTGAAAAAGGTCATGTCTTCGAGTGAATCGGAAACCAGTCTACAGGGCTGGGTGGGAGGGAGCGGTGTCGTTGCGAGCACCAATCATCTGCAGGAAGGTATTCCCCAATTGGCCCCGACTGAGAATGTCCTCGTGACTGTCAGGTGAGCGGGTCTCTGCATGACATCGAGGAAGCCGAGCACTGATATCACTCAGAATTCGGCCATTGAACAAGACCGAGATAAGAATGGACACGGATGGCGTCTGGCATCACTCCCCTCTTGAACACAATGTGTTGAAATTGGCCAGAGGTCGTGAAGGTACAAGAGATGACAAAGAATGGGTATTCGATCGTGTCTTACCTCCAAACTCGACCAACTCTTCTGCTTATACCACTTCGGCCCGAGCTCATGTCAAAGGTATGTTTCCCATGAATACTTTGTGCGAGTAGACTGACCCTCAGCCGCTATGGACGGATTCAACTCCGTCTGCTTTGCGTACGGTCAGACAGCATCAGGGAAAACATACACTCTTACAGGCTCACCGAATGATCCTGGAATCATCCCTTTGGCCATATCCGATCTTTTCTCACAAATTCGCCACTCACCAGATCGAGAATTCCTTCTTCGAGCGTCGTACCTGGAACTGTACAATGAGACCATTCTGGACCTTCTCTCCCCCGAACCAAGGGAGCTCTCACTTGCTGAGGGCAAGAAAAAGGGAGAGGTAGTCATCAATGGCTTGACAGAGTGTGCCGTCAGAGCAGAGGACGAAGTAAGAAGGCTTTTGAGGAAAGGAGAAGAAAGACGTAAGGTGGGAGGGACGGATTGGAATACTAGAAGCTCTCGAAGTCATTGCGTTTTCCGAGTCGTGAGTTTAGGCACGTGGTAGACCCCGTCAGCTAATGTCTAGGTCATTGAGTCAAGATCAAGGTCTGGAAATGGGGATGAGACCCCGCTCCCAACCCGAACTCCTGGAAAGAAGAATGCTGGAACGCAAATGACCAGGATCAGTACATTGTCAATCATCGGTCAGCTAGCTCCCCTCCGTCAGTTTTAGATCTCTAGCTGACATGTGAGATTTGGCAGGTTCAGAGAAACATACGAGCTCTAAGGAGCGTAATGCCGAAGGGAAACATATCAATCAATCGTGAGTAGCTTGCTACATTGAATTGGGGAATTGATAAGTCTAATGGCAGACTTCTCACACTCAAGCTTGTCATTTCCAAATTAGCCGACATGGCTTCCAAACGGACCGTCATGCATGTTCCTTACCGCGACTCCAAGCTGTGAGGATTTTCTCTCTCTCAAAGGTCTATGCTAATGTCAGTACCCGTTTACTACAACCTTCCCTATCGGGCGATGCTCTCATCTCAGTCATTTGCACGATCTCCCCGTCATCGTTGAACGTCGCCGAGTCCATGTCGACCTTGGCCTTTGCTCAAGGACTGAAACGTGTCGTCCTTAGAGCAGAGAAGAAAGAGCTAGCAGATCCTCAGGCGTTGATACAGCAATATCAAAATGAGATTGCCGAGCTTCGGGCGCTCCTACGTGAGAGAGAAGGGCAAGAGACTCAAGTGACTAAAGCAGAGGTAAGATCTTTCGATCGTATCTTATGAGCACCTTGCTGATGTGACAGAAGCAGAATAATGCCGCGTTGGAAAAGAGATTAGGAGAACTTCGATCCCTCATTCTTACTTCCGGCAACGTACGATCTCCGTCTATCGAACAAGAAGGGGAAGCTAGACCATTAAGTCCCACTAAATTGAAGTATCCCAGATTGGATTATGGAAGATCGACAGCCGAGGTGAGCTTCAGTTTCAATCCCTAAACAACTCGCATTAGCTGACGAAGAAGTTACAAGAAGATTTGCATGCGGCAGAGCTCAAGGTCACTGCTCAGGAAGAAGAGTTACACCGACTGAGAATGGCACTAGAAGCCAGACCTGTCAACGCAGACCAGAGGATAGTAGAGTTGCAGAATGAGATCAGTCAGTTGAAGATGATTGCAGGTAGGTTCTGTCTCTCTCTCACTGGAACCAAGCCGTACCACCAGCTCCCCCTCACCATCTCTAAATTAGACAGTCACAATCCATCTTGGTCTGTTCCAGATACAAATCAAGAAAGGATGCAGTAGCCTTTTGAGGTATACTAGACGATGGTCATCAGGAATAGATTGAACTGACAATGATAGACGATTATGAACGTCATCTCGCTGAACCCTCTCGTAAAGTCCGGGAGGATGTGGAACGAGAATGGTCTGGTCGTGTGGAAAAGTTAGAAAGACAACTTGAAACTAAAGCTATATGGGCTATCCGGCTCGATGAGAATATCAGAGCTTTGACAGAGGAGAACAAAGGTCTCAAATCTGTACGTGATCCCACATCGCTCTGCACTCTTCACTCCTCACTCAACCTGATCCGCCGTCCTCCCTAGCTACTCATATTCCTCCCCCTTTGACACTACCTCATTCTCTCCCCCCTCTTGACGTATCAAACGTCGCAAGGAGAAAATCACTTCTTCCCTTCAGTCTTATCTTCCCACAAACCAACCCAGCCAAAAAGACATCTCACTCGAAATATCTTACATCCCCCATATACCTCATATCCAAGCCACTGGTCAGAATAACAAATGAGTTAGCTTAATTTTCTAGCGTTGCGCAGAAGCAGAAAACACCGTAGCTTTAATAAAAGATTGGCTTTTTTCCGCTCTCACAGAAGATCCATCAATTCCAAACCCATCATCTTCTCACCATCAAACTTCCCTCGACGAAACCGTTTCTGTATCGGATTTCGGACCCACTTTGTCTGTTCAAAACAAAGATTCACTCATGGCGAGAGGAATGACCAGAGCTCAATTTTCACGTATGGATTTAGCCACGTTGAGTGAGAAATTCGGATCGTTGACGATGGGTAGAGGAAGTAGGAAAATGAATGGAGGGAGGATGTTAAGGGATGAAAGTTGTTTTGGATTCACAGAAGGGGATGATGATATTTTTTAAAAGAGGATGATACTTCTACTTTACTCTACTCTTAACATTCAATATTTCAACTTTCTCTCATTTCCATCCCTTGGTCTTTGTACCATTATCAAACATCTGCTCTTCTAATTCTTATGATGCTTCTACTTCTCCAATCCTTGACACACCTTTCTCCTCACGTATAACCTCCTCCCTCACAATCCTATTTTTATTCGTTCAATATCATTCATCACATTCCTCTTCCGTAACGTTTCAAGACTTGTGATATCGACAAGTCGCCTCAGTTTGGTAAAGATCTCCAGTATCGATCCGGTATCAAGAGGAAACACGAAGTGGGATAAGATAAGTACAATGATCAGTGGAGAGAGGTGATAATGAATATAAAGGACAATCAGATTTTGATATAAGGTAATGATTGAAATATCTGTATTGAAAAAAAAAACAATGAAAATGCATCCGAAATCCCCCGCTCTACGAATTATCACTAGGTACTTTCCCCACTAGGCCAAATAGATATTAGCGCTTTGAAAAACTTTTACGATTTCGCCTTGTGTGAAAGTTCTACGGCAATTTTGAAAGCGCCCAAAAGAGCTGTGAGTTGCATCTTTTCTGATCCTCCGAGAGATAATCGATGTCTATCATTAGCTTAATCTGTCCTTCTCCCCTCATTTATCTGTCCCATCTGTCTCTTATACATCGGCCGGTGACCGTCAATTTCTTGTGTCATGAGAGACCATTTTGATCTTTTCCAGATGAGCTTGGAGGGATAATGACAAGATGTTATTTCACTGATAAGACGATAAGGGATTCGACGTGACTAAGGGGAGTGGGAGAATGACAAGATATCGCACTTCCTTGCTGACGGAACACAATCAGGATGAGAAAAAACACTTTTGACTCACTCGCACGAACCTAAATGATCCAAGAGATATACTCTTGCAGAAGGAGGCATCTCAATAGTTTGAAGGAAATCGTATGCTCCAGAAATAAGATCTTGTAATGCCAAACCCTTTTCTAGTTTCAAAGAGGTGATTACTGGTAAATCAGTAATTTGTCTTCACATCACCCCGATTACACCCCCCCCCCTTTTCAGAGACACAGACTTCGGTTTATCTTCTAAGTTGTAAATCCTCTTCAATTATTTTGAATTATGGAGTCTTCTGACACAGGGTTTGATTTTCATTCGCAAGATGTAACCAGTGGTAGTCTTACGAAACTTTGACCGACATTGATATTGGGCAGATATGATACCAATTGATTAGGTGAAGGATGGAGAAAGTAGAGTAGACACATATGTCATGTAGGATGATAAGACGAGGACTGACAAGAATAAGAAGTCCCAAATTCATCCGCCATCATACTCTGTACGACTCTTTCGATATCTCTCGGATGAGGATTTCCAGTGCAAGTATAAACCGCCATCTCGTCGATTTTGTCATATGCGGCGTGACAGGCCTAGACATGAGCTCCTTGAGATACCCAAAAAATATAGTGATTGCAATCCTCTTTGAGATTAAGTTTTTCCTCAGCGGGAATTTCATGCTGAGGAAAAGAGTACGTCATATCGAGGTCAAGAGTTTGATGTTTATCATGAGGTGATGTAACATGTTCCGAACAAAATATGAGAAGAATGTTGATTGTACTGACCTGTAAGACATTCAATGCTCGACGCATATCCCCTTTTGATAATTTGAGCAATGCCGCACGTCCATCATCAGTCAGGTTGACCCTGGTCCGTCAGTCGCTTCTTTCTACTTGTTCGGGTGCGATGGGAATGGACAAATCATAAAAGTCAAAATCCCGAAACGATTACCATACGGTTAATGAGATGAGACATCAAGATGCGTGTAGTCGGGGATGTCAATTGGAATAAAGTCAATCACGTACCCCTCTTTCTCCACCACATCATCTACTTTCCGCTGCACCTCTTTCTCCGGCAAAGGTGAAAAGCGGAATCTGGTACAACGGGATTGAATAGCGGGGGTGATTTTATTGACGTAATTGCATAGAATGCAAAATCGGACGTTTTTTGTATGTGTTTCGATAACTTCAAGTCAGCTTGAAGTTCTGGCGCTGAACCCACTTCGCACGGATTCATACTCGTGTATCCATAGCAGTATTAACACCGACATGCTGCGTGGTGGTGAGGGGAAAGGCAAAGGCGGAGGGAGTTGAGTGAATGACAGAAGAAAAAGTAATAATCACCTCTTCGTAGTGCCGATTGAGCAGCTTGGGTCATCATGTCCGCTTCGTCCAGTATAACTAATTTGAAGCCTTTACTATTGGTCAATCTCTCTGTCGCAAAATTCTCTCTATTTTCACTTGTGCTCTTATCCCCTTTCCAGACCAATCGATCATGTCGTCTGATTGAAAGGGTACCGTTCTCAGAACCATCATTGCGATGCTCTCCCTGGAAAGTATTCCAAGGTTAAGTGGGAATGTCGGAAAAAGACAAATGGAGAATATCAGTCAAGATGAATAGACAGAAATGAATCTTGATAGTAGGGAGAGAACCAAAACAACTCACGAAAAAAGAACTTTGGTCATTGCGAAACTCTTTATCTGATCTCTTACCACATCTATCCCTCTATCATCCGAAGCGTTCAATTCAAGAATATGTTTTTGATATGGAGGTCCGTATAGTCTTCTAGCGAGAGCGAGTACAGTTGATGTTTTTCCTGTTCCTATTTTATCAGCCCTTCCTTCTTCTCTCATCTGAAGCCTCCCTCAACTCCATATGCCAAACCTCCAAACAAGGGTACAACGAAGACGCTTTTGCTTCTTGAAGGGGTGTAATATTGTCAGAAATCTGAATTCGGAAGTTTGCTGAAAATTGTCTCGATTTCTGACACAACTCTCGATCCGATCAAGCGGCTCCAAGACTCTACGTAGGTATGCCGAATATTGAGATAACATGAGGAGAAGCATAGTAGGTAAGGTGGAGAAGGGAAAGTACTGACCAGGCGGTCCATATAACAATAAATGAGGTAACCGACCAGCTTCTATAAACTTTTCGACTATACATCAGTCTTCTTCTCCCTCACTGGCCAATTGCATGTCTTCAGAAAGATAAGGAAACCTGACGTAAGGGAATGATGATATGTGAATGACATTGAGCGATAGACGATGAAGTGGTTAAGACGGGTACAGATGGACTCTGTGATTTCGAATGATTTTAGGGAAGGGTGAGAGTGTGAAGAGTTACAAGGAGTAAAGGGATGATGAAAATGAGGAACCAGAGAGACAGGGATTTTGAAGAAGAATGAATGAGACAAACTTGTGTTGGTGATATCTTGATGAGAAACAACTTCGTCTAAAGTGTTCGGTCTATATTTTTCGACCCTATTATCAGCTTTCTAATGTGATCTTTCAAAATCTCCAATGTCTTTGAAATCAGACTTATAGCTGGTCCATTCGCACTGATCTGAAAAGAAACACAAAAGCCAGATTATGACACCAAACACAGATGAGAAAAGAGAATTGATGAAAGATTCAATAATTCAACAGTCCAAAAACAAAGACGAAGGCAATGATGATTTTCTTTCCAAATGGACAAGAGTGTATGAGGGGGAAGGAACTCACCAAGGTAAACCATCACGTTCCTCTTCTAATTTCGTCATACCATTCGATTTTTCTTTACCTTTTGCTATTTTCATCAACCTCACTCTTCACCATACCGGGATATAGAAAATCTCATCCAGCATTTGTTGAGCTTTCACTGACAATGACTTGTGGAGGGACTCGTAGAGATAGTCCGGTGAGAGAGAGATAAAACTAACCTTTAGCTGAAGCCATGAGAGTTGACATTGCGTTGAGCTTTGTGGTCATGGGTTCAGAGTCGATTTCCATTTTCTCTTGAGTCATCGTAGTGTACTCGCAATGCTCGTTCTGGGAGGGTGGAGATAAGGTTAGATGATAAAGAAAAGGGTAGTGTGATTGACTGGGAGGTCAGACTCGAAGAAGGTTGATTCAGTTGGTTGGTGGTGGTTTGAAGGAGATGGTTGGACTGAGCGAGAAGGATAGATGATTATGCTGGATAATCGCTTGTATACACTTGAGAGGTTTGTCTGTTGAGGCTTGAGGTCTGGTGTCAAATGGTATGTTATGAAGATGCAGAAGATGTGAAAGATCAAGTTGGGAAGATGGAAATTGGACGTGATGCGACGCGTCTTCCCTTGCTCCATGCTCCACTTCGTTACTCACTTTTGCTGATGCATTCATCCTATTCCTCACTGATCACTATAGAGGTCCCTGGCTATGGTCGTGTGCCGGTGGGCCAGTTCTCAGGGGATGAGTGCTCTATGCGCAGACCTACACCAACACACAATACACCTAAGTACGATGCATCAACATGTCATAAAGTACAACTGTATATGTATAGCACATATCCCTTGAGAGGGCTACTGTAAGAAACCTTTTTCTTTTCAGACATGATTAACAAACGACTCATTTCTTTTCTACACTGCAGGAGACGGAAAGGGGACCAGAGTCAAGCGACGCTGGGAGTAGTAGGTTCCGAACGACGGTTGAGCATTCCTAATCCCAGCCCTGCCTTTCTACGTGCTCTGACGGTCAGTACGACATACATTTGTTTACCTTACCACTCGAATCCAGGAGGCATGCGACATCATTTTAAAGCCGCCCTTGGTTCACGATACCACGTTGTGCACTGTCCCACGGCCGTCGGGGGAGGGATGCTAAAGGGAAAAGAGTATGAATGATGAAAGACAGGTAAACTCACAACGCCTTGAAATTATCCTCCTTGAGCTTATCGGCGTCACCGGGAGGTCCATGAGGCTGTCTGATCGCAATGGCCGTTTTGCGTACTGGTGCAGAGGCGACGCTCGCAGCTCGGGCCGCAGGGACGGTTGCGAGAGCAGGTACCAAGGGAACGGGCAATGTAGCAGATCGATTGGTAGTCTGCTTTTCCTGAGGTCGACCCCGTCCCAATGCTTGCAAAGCTTCGCGAGCGGTGTTTCGAGGAATCGAGTCGTCAGACGTGGCAGATGTAGGACTGACATGAGGGGATTCGGAAGGAGAAGAGGTTGCTTGAGCTTGACGACGGGAAAGAAGTGCTTGAAGACTACCGACAGGAGAGATACCTCCAGAAGCTGCTATTTCTTGTCGGGCTTGAGCGAATCTACCTTTTGGAGGAGGCGAGAGTCCTTCGATCTTGCTAGGTGCGGAGAAGGCGCGAGAGTGAGATTCTGTTGTGGCTGAGGGAGGAGGGGAAGTAAAGGTCGAAGCTGTAGAATGTTGTGACATGGTTATTTTGTTGGTTGTCAATTGAGACGAAGGCTGGTCGTAGGTGTCGTCAAGACGATTGAAGGTAGAAATCCTAGGTTTGCCCACTGGGGGAGGTTGTGATGAGACGGGTGGAGTGGATTGCTCCAGAGCGGTGGCAAAATTTTGTTGCAGTGCCATCATCTGCATCTGTCTCAATTGTTGTTGATGCAACTGTTGAAGTTGAGTCAACAGTTGTTGTTGTGCAGGAGTGAATGCTCCGGGTTGACCGTTACCCGTCATAGCTAGTCTCTGTACTTGTTCTTGGTTCAACCTCTGGGAACGAAGTTGTTGATTGAGAGCTGCTTGTTGAGCTGTGGTCGTCTGTCCGGAGACGGGGTAATAAGGTGGAGGAGTAGGGAGAGGGGAAGGTAATTGTGATAATAACATTTGTTGTTGTTGTCTGAGTCTATCCGCTTGTTGTTGTTGCAATACTTGCAAAATATCACCTTGCATAACGGATTGAGGAGGAGGGATACTAAGTGGCGAAGGTGGGGATCGCTACTCCATCAGCTCCACTCTCTTCAATAAATGACTCGGATAGATCAAAGGAGGGAGTTGATGACGTGTTCAAAACGTACATTGGAGAATTTACTAGTTGGATAAACCCTTCCATCAGGACCAAACCCTAGTTGAGCCATTTTGGCGGCTATGAACTCGGAATCATCACCGTCTTCTTCATCGCTGAAGATGGGTCCAAGGGTACCATGAGTGGCTGGGGAGTGAAGAGGTGGGGGACGACGATTTAAAAACGCATCCATGTTGGATAATGAGTGATAGCCTAAACCGACACCACTTGGAGCATTAAAATTGGATCGAGGTAGAGTAGTGGAAGTCATTGATTATTTTGTTTCGTTGTGAGGGGTGGAAATTAAGGTTATTCGAATTTTTGGTAAGAATGTTTGATTATACTTTGTGTTGACTAAGCTTGAAGCGTTATTGAAGAATGCTCCAGAATGTTTTTGAAGTGGAAAGAAGTGATGATTCTGACGACGATGGCGATGCGTGAGAGGAAGAGATAAAGCCGGATAAACCGAAGACGGGAATGTTTGACCACGAGTTGTAATTTAAGGAGGGGCTACAAGCGGGAGAAGGGGAACGTGTCTAACGATGAGGGTTGGTGAAGGGTTAGTTGGTGATGAAGCCGAAAAGGACGAAACTAGAGTGAAAGTGAAATCTTTTTGAGTGAAGGATGAGAGTGTTTTTTTCAGAAGGATGGTCCAGGTGAGGGAAAGAAATGAATAGGGGGTGAGATAAAGAGGGAGGCGGAAAGTTGAAGGGAGGGAGGAAGTGAGGGAGGAGAATTGAGGGTGGTTGTACATGTGCCACGTTATTTCGGCGATCGGCAATTGTGAGGCGCCGAAGTAGCGTGCCTACTGCATCACTTTCCCACGGTCACACCTGTGAACCCTCGGCTATTCACTCAACCGGACGACATCGGATCTGGCTCAACCCGATGCATCTCTTCTCGCTCAGACATCATAATCCATACTCACTACTACCACTACTACTGTAGCAGACATGTTATCCAAGGCTCTGAAAGCAGCTCACTTCCCTCGTACTTCAAGATCATCCCTATATCCAATCGCGCTCCGCTCCAATGCTCGCCTCACCCGTAGCTTCTACGCCTCTCCCATTCCTCGAGCAGCCAATGAGATCACTCGTCCGGCCATCGATACCCCCTTGAGCTTGTGGAATTTTACAGAGGAGGAGGAGATGGTACGTGAGACAGGTGAGTCGTGACCTTAACTTCAACGTCTAGCTGACAGTCAGTAAGGAGGTACGCCGAAGACGTCATAGGACCAAAGGTCAGGGAGATGGATGAAGCGGAGAAGATGGATCCTGTCAGTTCTCCTCCCCTACCCCTTCCCTCTTGTACGTACCTCATCCAGAGCTAACTATTGCAGGCAGTCGTCCAGGGTCTTTTCGACAATGGGGTGAGTACGCCTTCACTATAGTGACGTCGACTGTGCTGACCACAGCTTATGGGCATTGAAACCCCTGCTGATCTAGGCGGATCGGAAGCTTCTTTCACCAGTGCCATCATAGCCGTCGAAGAGCTTGCCAGAGTCGATCCTAGTGTAGCCGTATTGTGTGACGTGCATAATACATTGGTCAACTCTGTCTTGAGAATGTACGGGAATGACCACATTAAGGAAAGGTGGTTACCTGATCTTGCTACTTCCAAGGTATGTCTCCTCCATGCACTCTGGCTATGTGTTGATGACTAGGTCGGATCTTTTTGTCTCTCGGAACCTGCGGCGGGATCGGATGCTTTCGCTCTTCAAACCACTGCCAAACTCGACAAAAGCGGGGACTTTTATGTCGTCAACGGGAGCAAATGGTCGGTTCATGATTCCCACTCGCAGAAGCTTCATGTATAACTGATTTGATAGTTGGATCTCTAATTCTGAACAAGCCGACACATTCGTTCTATTTGCCAATGTCAAACCTGAAGATGGATACAGAGGAATCACCTGTTTCATACTGAGTAAAGATATGGGTGTCCAAATTGTCAAAAAGGAAGCCAAGGTTAGTGCTCACTAGTACTTGTATAATCGCTGGATGTTGACAGGAGTAGCTCGGAATCAAAGCTTCCTCCACTTGTGTGTTGGCGTTTGACGATGTCAAAATACCCAAGGAGAACGTAGTGGGTGAAGTTGGTAAGGGCTACAAGGTCAGTCGCTCTCTGACGTGCCAGACGTGTACTGAGGGCAGATCGCCATTGAAATTCTCAACGAAGGACGGATCGGGATTGCTGCTCAGATGGTAGGATTGGCGCAGGGTGCTTTTGAAAAAGGGATCAGATACGCGTATGACCGTAAACAGTTCGGGAAACCAGTGGGAGATTTCCAAGGGATGGCATTTCAGTTTGCCGAGGTCGCTACGGAGATTGAAGCTGCGAGATTGTTGACGTACAATGCGGCTAGGCTGAAGGTGAGTACCAGTTTGAACCTTTTCCTCTGAGCCTGTTCCCATTGTCGTGATGAACGTCTTCGATATCATATGTTGTCCTTCTGTTGGATCCTGCTTTGTACCCTTGTCGTCCTTATTGTAGCTCCGTTCTGTGCTCTGCGATCTCATGAGGCCATTCCCCTCCTCTTTTCCTTGTTGCTCGCTTATGATCCGGCGAAGTTGCTATCTTTCCATCAACTCCCTTGTGTCTGTGTATTTGATTGGACGACGGTAGACTGATGATACCAGGAAGAAGGCCGCCCGTTCTTGGTCCAAGCAGCTCAAGCCAAATGGTACGCTTCGGTCATAGCGCAAAAAGCCGCCGGTCAAGCTATCGAATGGTGTGGCGGTAATGGCTTTGTGCGTGATACCGGTGTAGAGAAGTACTGGCGTGATAGCAAGGTGAGTTGTTCCTCTATGTACTGGGATGTTGAGCTGACAAATAGATTGGAGCGATTTACGAGGGTGAGTCGTGGTGTGCGCCCACGGTGGACGGGGCTGATGAACAGGAACCAGCAACATTCAATTGGAAACAATTTCGAGGTGGCTTAGTGGGTTTTCTTCATCATCAAAGAATCTAGCTGACATGGGTTAGAGAAGCAGTACACTTGAATAAACGTGATGTATGAAGGTGACATGACATTTTGATACGATAAGATTGAATATGCTTTGTATGTATGTTACGTGCCCTATGATTAAGACCTCTCTTCTCTTCCCCTCACCCACGTGATCACCTCACTTCCTTACTGACATATCACTGCGTTTCTTCTTACTCAATATACATGCACCCCAAACGATTCAACTTTGTTCCATTAGTGACCTCGCTCTTCTTGTACTGAATTACCAACCGTATGCACACCACCAACATTTTGTTTCATCGTTATAGCTCCAGTAGCTCCAACTTGTTCTTCCACCGCGTCATTGTACTCTACGCGTCACATCCCCCGGCCCATCCGTGATTCCCGGACTCGGGATCGGACAATTTCCTTCCGAACATAAACTTTGATCCGAACCCACCGACCTGGACTTTCCGTTCTTCCCTCTTCACCCTCCACCATGCACTCATGTTGTTCTGGAAAACTCGGGACTCGGAGTTCGGAGAAGATTCGATCGGTTTATCGATTTTTAGACTTGAGCATGTCAAGTGTCGCACATGCTACTAGCTGCTAGCTGCTATGCTCCACCGTGACCGACCCAATGTATCAACATCATTTACGATGACCCTTGGAATAAGTGGCGATATTTCTACTCTCAATCTACTTACATACTTGACAAAACACAGGTCTATCATCAAGTTCAACAACAGAAGAGGGTCTTTCGAGCGTAACGAGAATACAGAACAGGTGACCAAGATTTGACAACATTTGTTGGGAGCGCGAGTACGAAGATTGTGAGAAGTTGGATTAGAAGTTGATTGATAAGATTGAAGAGGATCATCTTGATGGACCAATCTACTGGTGGAGAGATAAGACAAGGAGAAGTTTCGAGGAAAGTGAAGGAAGAGTAAGTCAAAGATTTCATATTTACTGTTGTCTTCCTTCATTAGTCATTTCGAATCTATCATTCCAATGACCAACTAGTCTCTCCACAGTTTGTTCTCCATGTGATCTGTCCTTCGTAGAATATCACTTTAGTTGGTACACCCCAACTAATCACTGGTTTATCTCGATCGTCTGATCATTAGTAGCTCGTCATTGGTCTACTTGGCCATTGGGTCACTGGGTCAATGGATGTACCCTACAACTCACGTGTCTCTTTGATTTCCCTTTCCCATAAACTGGTCATACAATTCCGTCAACATTCACTTATTCAAAATTCTCATAAGTCCTCGATGAACATGTTTGAAGAACATCACTCACCCACAGAGTTTTTGTCTCCATGGACGAAACCCCTTCACCTAAGTTGGACGATGAACGGATATCATCTAATTCTTCCATATGGAAAAGAATTCTGAAATGAAAACAAGTCCTGAAATGAAAACAAATCCATCATCATCATCCTCGGACCAACCTTCAAGACCATCCCACCATCCATGCACATCAGACCATCTTTCCAACTCTACCCTAAACCCCTACCATCCCCATGGACATCATACGATCGATAAAAATGATGATCCTCGATTTACATCAGAACCCAATATCACTCATTCGAACCCTGTCTCAAAGTCAACTCCACCATCCCAAGGGTCAAACTCCAGGGGAAAGACTAAAAGAACTATGTTGATAAGAGAAATACAACCACCTTCTAGGACGTTGACGAAACATCAATTATTACTCTTAACACCATTCGGACAACCTATTCCTTCTTATCCAAATCGACCATCCTCATCTTCTCAATTATATCATTCATCTCATCTTTCTGCCCCTCCTGGTTCATCCCATTCACCTGGATTATCTGAATCATCTGAATCAGTTCATCCTTCTCATCTCCATTTACCAACAACAGTTTTGAATGCATCACGATCTTTGGGGGGAAGTCAAATGAAAAGAGATACGAATCGAAATTTCATCGATCCTACACTTATACAAGTTCCGAGTTCAACAATCTCCAAGAAATTCCCAGAAACCTCTTCGAAATTCAATCAGCAAATGTCTCGAACATCATCAATGAGAAAGGGTCTATCGACTTCATCAGAATACGAAGAACTTCAATCTTTCCAGTTTACTCCGATGGAAGAAGAGGAAGATTCATCAGAACAAGAGGGAAAACAACCTTCTCACATTACTTCGATGGACCAAAGGGACCATATGGGGATATCATCTGGATATACCATAACAGGAGAGAAGATGGAAATACACGAAGAAATGGAAGAACCAGATGAAAAAGAAACCACTACTGGAAAAAAGTATATGGCAGTACCTATGATGAGATCTACAAGTTTACCTTTATTAACATTGGAAGAAATGAACGTTTTGGATCAAAAAGATGGAGAATTAGGTATTGCCAGAGGATCTGGTTGGGCTTGGGTATCTGATTTTGAAGTTGATAAGTTTGAAAAGGGGTAAGTTATGTTTTCACACTCTTCATCCATATCTCTCCTCCCTTGATCGAAACACTCTTCATGTTTTTTCTCTCCTTTATTGGGGAAGTAATATCCTCTTTCCTTACCTCCTTGTCTGTGTCGATCGCCTCTTCTCTCTCATGCCATACCTTTTTCATTTTCCATGCGGGGTTTCTTCCAATTTCCCCAATTTTGGTCACTCTTCACCCTTCTGAGGGCTGTTCCTGAATCTTAACCTGAAATTACAGAGTGGAAATGTCCTTTTTTTGTCTATCTCAATTCCATGTATCGAAGAATTGGTTCAACCCACTCGACTGAATCGAATTATGCTGAATCTTAGTTCTGACCAACTATCTCCCTTCAATCACAACATTTCCACTTCTCAACCAATATTCAAAAACCCTTTCGATCCAACTTCCCCACTTTCCCCAACTCTTCCAACTCTTTTCCCTCCTAAATCAACAATACAGGGATATCATTATCATCCACCTACCACACGTAGACAATCTGCTACTCCTCTTCCACCATCTCATCTTTCCCAAGTAGCACAATCAGTTGCTAGACGTCCTTCTGCTCTCGTACCACGTTTACCGGCGACTTCGTTATTATCAGGTGGAATGTTGAGTCGTAATATTTCCACTATCCCAATTGTTCCTACTGGTTCTGTCATTTCTACAGGTTCCACTATACCTACTATTTTCCTCTCTACATACCCGGAAGAAAAATCCAACGTTGGGATGAGACCAAGATTATTGAGATATAAAACTTCACCTGCTAGAGTACATGGTATGAATGAGAAAATCGCCGAATCTCAGGAAACCACCTTGCCAATAGAAAGTTCGTCTGGGTATATGAAATTGGAATCAAAAGTACGATCCGAAGAGAGAGGTTTGACGTTGGAATCACCTTCTGATGTAAAAGGTGGAAAGTCAAACCGATCAACCGAAGAAAAAGATATAAAGTTTAAAGTATCTCCCGATGAGAGATTCAGTAGATCTTCGATCCAAAGAGGAGAATGGACATCAATGGAAGTTTTAGAATTTGACAGGTCAAATTTCCATTCTGATTTATCTCCTAGACCTTCGATAACGGAACAATCAGTCCCCACTTCCTCTGTATGTGGAGGGATTTCTGAAGAAGGGACGTCAAATTGGTCAAATACATCACATTCTTCACTTTGTCCTCAGGATCTTAATTGATTTTTGTCAGGCTGGGTCGGATAGGGTGGGAGTAGGAATATCGGATTGAAATTTTGTCTTGGAAGAATGGGTTTGTGGGATCTTGGAATTATATCTTATGATTCACGGAGATTATCTTTGTATTTTCAGGTAGTTGAACAGAAAGAAGAATCTTAGGTTTTTGAGGGGATGTTGGAATGTATTTAGTTTATTTTCAGATGCTAGTCTTAATACAAATTATTTCGTTATTCTACACCTGGTTGATGGTTGTGTTTCGTAGTCGATGCAGGATTCTTTGTTGTCAATCTAAACCCCACGGGGTATCAATGATATGTAAGTGGTGTCTTGTAATTGAGAAGACTCTGAATAGATTGTTAGAGTATGAGATGAAAAGAAAATTACGTGTGCAATGTATTGTATTCATCTATGAAGAATGCAGATTGACCTGAAATTAGGGTATGGAAGAAGATGCTTTCTAATTTATATCTCTCACGCAACTTGGAGGTATAATGTCGAGATACCTCTTCGCTAACCTGATATTTCAATTGGCGGTAAAAGTCGGGGGATAGATTGGATCATTCATTCTGATTTAAGACGAGTGGGAGTGGTATTTCCCGATGTTGATGAAGGCGGAGAAGAAGAAGAAGAAGAAGAAGATTGAGTTAAAAGCTTAGCACTGACACTCCTTATATTTTGTCCAGCACGACTTATACCGCCTTTCTCTGCACGTCGATAAAGTTTCAAAGCCGTTTCAAGATTATTGGCTGGGATTTTAGCTCGGCCCTTTAAGTTGTATTCGACTGTATCAATTTTTCAATTCCTGAAAGAAAAAGGAGATTTTGTTACATGACATTACACCATTCGATGACTTCACTCGAGAAGGACGGAAGTGGAGTATGGGATAGGAATGAGTATGACAAGAGGAGTGAAAGAGTGAAAGAAGAAAACTGACTTGACTCTAGTACCGCAGCGAGATTGAAAGCGATCTGTAATCTCAGCATATACACAAGTCTGAAACTAAATAACGGGTTTTATGAGGTCTGTTTGGGTCATGGGTCGATCCGAATTGTGAAGGGAGATGAGGAGAAGAGAAAGTCGTTTTTGAGTGTCACGAGATACATGTAACGTTGTGAGTTTAGGTCAGAGAGTATCTTTCTTCCACAAAAAAGAATGTATTGGGTCCTGAAGAGAAAGAGATGGAAGATTGAACTGACCTCTGGATCATCAGGAGAGAGTTCCAATGCGGAACTATACGTCAATCTTCACTCATTTGACAAATCTCCATAATACCGGCATTCCCGATAGTCATGACAATCTTCACACAGTGTATAAAACAGAATGAAGCCATTGGCGGGTGTTGCTTGGGTAGAGAAAGGTATCATAAAGGGAGACAAGACGTAATATAATAACCCACGTAAGATGTTTAATAGCCATCGCAGCTTGAGGTGGCTTGGAAAGTATATAAGCCGAAGCGAGATTTGTATAAGCGTCCGAAGATGGATCTAGGGTTATACTTCTTTCCCAAGCTTTGATAGCTTCTGGAATATTTTCTGATATCAGCCCGAGGTCGGGTTGAGGTCTGATAATAACGATCAAAAAGAGGAGATAATTGTTAAAAGTGTATTTAGACGAGTAACCAGTAACTTAGAAATCATACGAAATTCAATGTATAAGTTTTCATCAAATGAAATGGGATGAGAGATAGTGAACATACTTAGATGATATTCGCATACCTGTTTTATGAGCTTTGTTCTTATCTCTTTCTATAAGTCTCATATCTTTCACGAGGGTCGGTGATGCGTAAGTAGTCATAGGGTTTTTCTCCTGCCTTCCGACGATGTGAACCAAAGGATTCAGCTCCGGTAAATCACTTGATAGTAAGAGTATCGATGCGAGAAAATAGCGGTTACCTCAGTCAGATAGTTCAATGGAGAATGATGTATAGAGATGAATATGATAGTCTGGTAGGAGAGAAGGGAAATGAAGGATCGACTCACTCCTAAATTGAACCAACCAGCACTTGTCTCTTTCATACCTAAAGAGGATTTATACTTTTCTCGAGCTTTATTCAAATCTCCTTGTTCTAATTCTTGAGTAGCTTCATCCATAATTTCTTGAGCATGTATATCGGTAGGATCATCTGGACTTAACGGTCCAGAGGAGGTGGCGTATTTTCTGTTAAATGTATAAACCTCATGATGACGCCCTGTTGATCAGTCGAGTCTCTCCATGGAACAATGATACCCATGGGGGATGGAAGATGCCTGGACTGTAGCTTGAACCAAGATAGACAGTCTCTATGTCAGGGAAATGGGTTTTGACGGCGAGAGTTGTGATGATGAGGTGGTATACGAGTCTCAGAAGGGGTCAATAATGGTCGGGTCCAATGGTCAACACAAATTGCAGGTGAAGTGGACGGTGGTTTGATTGTCCAACAAAGCTCAGTTTGCCCACGTAGTCAGAATTCACACAGCCAAGGCCATAGATCCACAGGAAAGATCCATTTATGATCAGTATGACTAGGCAGTCGGCAGTAGACACAGCGTACAGCGGAGTGGCGGGTACGATGGCTAGGGACCAGGGAGGACGGCAATTTCGAGAACTTACGAAGAGATGTCGATGGAGTAGATCTCACTCTTACTGGTCCGGACGAAGCCACTGCGTATCGACCATATAGAGAGCTTCGAGTGACTCTCGTAGGTTTCAAGGCTTGTGAGAGCCATAGCAGCCGTAGATCTCGTAGAGAAGTTGACATGTCACAAGCAAGAGATATGATCAAGAAGAGAAAACGCAGAAAAATTCTTGGCGGCAGTCCTACTCCATCCGCATGATGTTGTGGAGATATGCGACAAGTATACTCGACGAAACGAAGCTGAATCCCAATCACTTTCAAACATAGTCTCGACATGGACTAAGAGTGAACATGTCACGAACACAACACATTGTACAACACGGAACAGGTCACTGATCACTGGAGACGTTGACATTTCACAACACGATGCATCCCATTGACAACTCATCTACGAAGAACCAGCCGATTTGTTCCTTCTCATCAGCTCCACTCTTAATCTCTCAGATTGTATCTTCGAGACATAATACTAAATGTGAAAGAGGGAGTCAACTCACAATTGATAACCTGCAATGATGAATGGAAGTGCGAATCCGACCGTACCGAATAAAACCATCTTGACACCTAACCAAGTTTTGTTTTCTACTGACGTGGGTAAAGCGCTGTTGTGAGCTTTCATTCCATCCACAACATATCTTATTGCTTTCCAATTAATACATTCACTTCTACTCGACATATGGGGACGTGTGTGTGATGAAACCATGGTATGGAAAGACGGTATTTACGAGGGGAATAGGGCAAGAGGGAGACTCACTGGCCTACGGTATTCTCAATGTGAGCAAACCTCGCTTGGACAGGACGAAGTTGGACCATTTGAATCGAACGGGAAGCTCTGAGACCTAAATTACGAGCGACGAGAGACATCTTTGTTGGGTTGTTGAGATTATCAGACTGGTGCGATGTGGTGATAGGAAGACGTTCGGAAGGGTTAGCAAAGAGGAGAGCGGAATCAATTTCCATGAAAGAGCCGAATGTGGCACTTTTTGAACGGGTGGAGGTACACCATTGCTGGAATTGACGTCCAACATGACGATTTGACATTTGACTACTGTGGTGACCAAAAGGAAAGGAAGTGAGTAGCACCAGGAGCATGGAAGAAGGTACACATCCGGGATACTTACATTTCGAAATGCTCAGACAGAAGAAAAAAGAAATATGAATATGAATCATACCCCAGAATATGTAATAGGACATCGTTACCTTCATTCAAAATCACATCAACCGCTCACATTACGATACATCGGTCCATTACCTTCCACCGATTCTTTATGGTTAGGAGTAGAATATGATGATATTTCTTTTGGGAAACATGATGGGACGTATCAAGGTGTTGAGATGTTCGAAGTGCTGCAAGAAGGGGCAGGAGCGTTCATCAAGTTCAACGTTGGATCTATGCCTTTGAGACAAGGTAGGACGTTCGTGGAGGTCTTGGAGGAGAGATATGGATCGATCTGTCATGTACAAGATTATGAAGCTACGGGGAACAACGTCTTCAGTACACCCCAGAATGTCCACCGGGTAGAAGGAGCAGATCAGGAGAAGGACGAGGGTGTGGAGGTTGAACAGACAGGGTCTACTGAACAGACTGGGGAATATATCTGGGAGAGAGGGGAAATAAGTGGAAGGAATGAAGAGGGTCGTGGAGGAGAAGTGAGTGAAAGAGGATATGAATGTAGGAGTCAAAGAATTGAAGAGTCAGAAGGAGAACGTATGTTTCTCGGCTCATCAAAAGATCGAATCATCGTCGAAGCTCCTAATTTGGAAAAAATCAAAAGAAAATTTGGTCGTTTAGAGAGACTTAAGGAGATAGGGGTGGAAGGGGAATGGATCTGGTGTCTTGGTGGTGATCTCCACTTGAAGAAACTCTTAACAAAGAGATTGAAGGGTGAGTTGACTTTCTTCTCACTCTCTGATCATTTGTTCACTTCGTCAATCTGATGGTTTACTCCTTCGTCTCATCGGTTTATTGACGGGCAAAGATATCACAAGTTTCTCCCTCCCGTTTGGGCTTGGATGAAATACCATGATGGAGGATTGTCAATGAGCTAGGCAAGGAAGACTGATGAGAAGGTGTAAAATTATTAGACATGTCTAAAAACTTATTTTCGTCATGGTACGACGTAGCAGAGATCATTGATGTTTTACCTGGTTTGGAAACACTAGTCCTTAAGTGAGTCCCTCAATTCCACGTAGAGTCTCTCGCTCAAGGCCACTCAGTCATTCCAGACTATCTTCACTCTCGAACGACACACACAATAACAATGGTTCTATCTCGACCGTGGAAGATCCAAATTTGGAGTCTACACTCAAACCTCTCTCCCAACTCAAATCTCTTCATCTCGGTCATTGTCACATATCATGGGATGAAGTGAGTTCTTGCAGTGCGACTTTTTCATGATCTGATGGCAGATTTGCACCCTATCTTCCCATTTGACCGATGTGGAATCATTGCATTTGAATCATAATCCCTTATCACGTTCTATTACCTTCCGACCGAAGTTCGATTCACTCACTTATCTAAGTTTGGAGGGATGTCAACTAGATCAATGGAAAGATATAATACGAATGATCATGGATATCCCAAGGTGGGCTGCTTGATCTGATAATGACATCCAGCTAAATGAAAGGTTGCAAACTTTGGACTTATCATCCAATCCCTTCACTACCATTCCTCTTGCCCAAGAAACCAGTATGCTCTTCGTTCCTTCGTCACCAAAAACACTATTCGATAATACTACCACTGAACATCCTCTCGACTGTTCCAACATTTCTTCAACATTCATCTCCGCGCAAGATCACGCTACGGCCATGAACCAACTCACATCACTGATCATGCTTGAAACTCAGTGTCGTGAATGGACCAATATCGATGCTCTTTCAACCTGGTTTCCGAAGTTAGAAAACCTTCGTATCTCCCTCTCATCTTCCACTCCATCTAGCCGCTCATCGACGGGCAGAAACAAACCCTTTCTGGAAATGAACAATATGAAGGATGACCGACTCATCATCATCGCTAAACTCCCTCACCTCATCTCGTTAAATTCTACAATCATTAGTCAATCCGAACGACGTGATGCGGAGATATACTATCAGTCTTTCTTGATAAGACATCAAGCCCCTTCATTTACTCTTCCAGGCAAAGGAAGTACATCTCTCGACGAAACATCACCACAACTCAAGAAAATGTCCGGGATAGCTTCGGTTCACACAGAAGGTCCAACACGATTAAATGATCTGGAAGCCCCAAAGAATTCGTTAAGGTCCAAGATGATAAGTGGGTCTCCCCCTTCCTTCCTTCTCTCTCTTATGAACCTCCCCTACCTCACTCCCCTAAGAGAAGTCAGTCAATTTGAAAAGGAGTAGACTGATGATAGCCATACATCTCCACCCTGCATCAGAGACTTCAACTCTTGAAACCTTTACTATGTCCTTACTGCCCTCTACACCAATATCGACTCTTACGAAGAAAGTCGCTAAACGTTTGGGGAAGTCAGAATCAGGGTTATCGTTGTGGACCAGTAAGAAGGTAGGCGAGAGGAGAGAAAAGGTCGTTAGGGTGGAAGGAGATATAGTAAGTTGGTGGATATCAGATGGAGATGTATTGATAGTGGAGATGCATACTTGATAACATATCCCTTTACCTCTGTCCGTTACCAATTGGAAAAGCTGATCACACGAGTGATATTATGCTGCTGCGATCTGCGAGCCGTTCAAGAAAAAAGTCGGTGGCAGCCGATTCCTTAGCTATCGAAGTCGCTATAGAAAGTAGAGTAGTACGAGTGATATGACCATCTGAGCAACGTTAACAAAATTACGATTCGAAAGGGTAATCTCCCTTCATATGCTTCCCAAACCGTCCGCAGTGTCATGACAAATATGATAGGTAAGGTTACATAGCCGAGAGGAAAGTGTGGATGTGGGGGAAACGAAAGGAAGTCGGTGATCGTCGGTGACATTCCGATCCCGATCGAGTTTTCTTTACCCTTTTCCTCCACCAATTCAAATCTTATCTTCCTCCTCACCCTTCTCTTCCTATCTTCTACCTTCTGTTCCTCTGGCTGATCAGCCGTTTCCTCCATCGAGAAGTATATACAAATCTCCAATCTCGATCAAGTACCAAAGAGAAAAGAAGCGCGAACAAAAGAAAAGAAAAGAAAGAAAAGAAAAAAAAGAAGAAAGCATGTCAAAAGGGAAAGAAAAAGAAAAAGCTGTAGCTTCTTTAATTGCAGGTGCGACGGCAGGTGGTGTAGAAGCTTTCACTACTTATCCTTTCGAATCTCTTAAAACTCAACTACAATTCGCTTCTACAGATGGGAAGGTGAGTTCTGCTTCTTCCCCCCCCCCCCCGTTATTTGCTTCGGTAAGTAAGAATTGACCAGACTTTTCAACGTCTCATGTTCCGGTGGGAAAACAGGATTGATAATCATTTTCAACGATACGCTTCCATATCAGCCTCATCTTCCCCTTCATTCCACATTTTTACTACTGACCAATTACCCGCTGCGTGTACACCGGCATCTGTTCTCGCAGCTCTATGCACGTCGACTTGCCGATGATCATTAAAATTATCACTACTGACCGCGCCCGGCCTTTGACGAGTGCTCGGAATAATTCTCCTACTATAGACTCCGCTTCTCCTGGCTGACTCATTCGTCAGCTTTGAATCCCTATGATCAAGACCCACCCCATTATTTGCATATTTGAATAACGTGGTACCACGATACCCTATCAAAA